AGCATTTCCATTTCCCACGAGTTCCTACACCCAACTGTGTAGTATCTCCACTCTAACTTGTGGAGATTATATTCTGGAAGTTTCATCAAGCCCCTGAGTATGCATGCATGCATATGTATTTCCATATAAAGCATCAGCATTTTCAATGTCGCAATTTGAAATTCATTTATAATAATTCCAGAAGGAAAACTTAGCCCGTCTAAAATAGCATGAGAGGATTGGGCGTATGAGATATGATCAAATTCCCTCAAATCGTGATTGATTGCTAAAAGGGTGAATGCGGTTGGTTCATTCTTTTTTTTATCTCCCACATTTGTAAATGGCAGCCACACGAAACGCATATAGAAAACTCTACTAAGCAAACGTGAAACACAAGTTTAAGGAAGAAACAAAATCAATCAATCTTCAAATCTAAACGTAAACTGATGTTTAGCTCAACTTGGAGGGGTTAAGACATTGCAAACACAAATACATGGTGAGAAGGAGAGAATATACACTGCTGCATGCACAATGGGCGCAAAAGTCCTCGTGCCAGGGTTCTTCACTCGTGTACTTCCAGGGTCAGTCTAGACCGCTTGGCGAAGGTTGGTTGGTAGGGTTGCAAGCGCGTGACGTGAATTTTGAACTCCCCCACGATGAGAAAACAAAACATTGAATAAAGTCAATATTTTTCCTTTCTTTTTTCCGTGACTGCAGTTCTCTCTCTTTTTTTATACGTCTTCCTACTCCCGTTGTTCGAGGAAACCCACCCGACCACAGTTTGAGTTTGTACTTTTTTGTTCTTTGATCTTCAAACAAACTCTGGAATTCATTTTGGAGTCAGAATCAGAATGTACGTACGTCCGTATCCGTTGTACTACACAATGCTGCTGGGAGGAAAAGTTCGAAACAAAAAAGGCAATATTGGTTTGTTGTGTTTGGTTATTTTCTTTTTAGCCGTTTGTCGTTGATTATATCGTAAATTTATTTGGTGCGCATAAAGGAAATGTTAGTAGTAGCCGTGCAGTAGTTATATTCAACAGTAAAAAAACTCGGATGTAATCAAAAGATTCAATAGGATGACAAGGAATCGGGAGAAAAGAGTATCAAGAATCAAGAATGGCTAAACTAACCACTAGTTTGACTAGGGGATTGCAATTGCATTGACTTCTCGAGTGTCTCGGCCAGCTCGTATTTCTTGGGACGTCGGAGTGGCTTAGTCTCCACCATGTTGTCATAAAATTGGATGAAAGTTGACTTTTGTATTTCCCAATGTCATCCCTTTTCTTCTGGATTATTTCCAGTGTCACTTTGTTCACCGTAACTCCCAACTTTCCACATGGTTAGGTTGCCATTCAAGGGAATTTGACCGACCAATGCAGCTGCAACGCTTGAGCACAATCTCCATGCATGCGCTACAAAAAATATTATCAATTTGTCAAGGTTGGGCTGAGAAGTATAATGGCTGCATTGTCCTGACTTTTGTAACTCAACTACTCTGCACATGCGTATTTTCTACTAGGGATGAACGTATGCATGTGAAAACTTCTTGATTTTTTAACTAGATAACGGTAATGGCGAATAATAATTAACTTATGGAACATATAACGTTCTATAATGATCAATATGATAGAAACCGTTGTAGAACAACAATGAGACGACTAGAGAACCTGGATTAGAAACCTTTTTTTATCAAAGGGTTCATCCAGGGGAAACGTTACTCAGGACGTTAACGATCATACGTAATCGAAACTTGTACAAGTATATTTTCTATTTTCTATAATTTTTGTGGTAGCCGAAGCATGTCTTCTGGCACCTACTCACCTTTCTTTTTATGATTTTTTATGATCGATGCATAATTTGTTATCATAGTTTTATGGTTGAGAAAATACGAGACACATGAGCGGATTCTAGCTCGATCTAAAATCCCTACGTGAAAGTGAACTACATATGTACGAAATGTGAACTTGTTCATTTATGTTCTGCACGTCATGAATTTAGAGCTGCACACGCATTATCCTCTTTCAGAGTTACATTGACGACCCACTGAATTTTGTATGTGATAATTTGAAGACAGCGAGCTTAGAAATCAGTTGGGATCAGTTGTCCTACTTTTGTTGGGTCACCTTACTCTTATGTGATCACATCCCCAAGGACTCTGTTTCCGAGTAGGCGGAGGATATACATGGACTGCGAGCAACATTTTCGCATGTGCATCTGCATCGACCATGACATCGTTGTAGGCTCCAAATTCAGTTGATTGACTTAGCGAGCAGATTGCACGAATTGGAGAAGGCGAAGGGAGTGCAGTTTGAGGAGAATAGGCTCAAGAAGCGGAAGTCTAGGGTCCAATTAAAGCCTGAGAGATGGATTTATAGTAACCTCGAGAATTGTACTCATTTGAATTTGAACACGAATCGTGGAAGTAATTTTAAGCAAATAGGACACTAAACTCAATTTGTTGCTCCTTTCTTTCGGCTTCATTACGATCCCCAGTCATGCCACGGATAAGGAAGGATCAAAGAAAGAAATAGACCATGCCGCACAAGTTTATGTATTATGCACAAGGTAAGCGTACAGGACCAATAATCTAATGATTGCCTAATACTTTCCATCAAGCCTCCTTAAAGGAGCAAGATGCGCTCGAGTGAGGTGAGAGAGAGCACGAGGAGGAAAGCACATCCCTGGAAGGAACGACGGGAAAAGGTGGAGAATGGAATGGGATTGTCTTGTGACTGGCTAACAGTCTATTGTCTAATCCAATTAGATTCATTCAATTTCACCTGCAGGATCATATCTTCTTAAACCCGCCGCCACTGCCGCGTGTCTTTTGCATCAAAACTAAACCTCCGCTCTCTCTCCTTTTGTCTTTCCTTGTCGCTTCTACTTCTTGAATTTCGGAGGAAGGAGGCGGATAACACATTCCTGCTTTTCTTGGCTCAAGCCTTCACGAGACTGATGCGGAGGAAAGCCCTCAAAAGTCAACATATCCGATAGGTTCTTCGCACGAACGGAGGATGGAATAAAAGTGTCGACCTTTTCACCTTTCCAAGGTTAAGGCAAGTCAAGACTGATCCTTGGAGAAAGTTGCCTATAATGCAAATAAATCCTCAGTCCGGAACCCGGCTGGATATGCATATATCTGCATTCTAGTAGCTACATATGTATGTACATATGTAGTATTTGTATATGTGGGTGGAGGGTGGTTGGTTGGTTGTCTACTATAACTGACTCCGTAAAGCTGGCACTGTAATAATAGTGGCCTTCTTTCAAAACAACAAACTTTGTTGAACTTCCAGCTTCATCGTCTCGCTGAATCTAGATACCGTCGATGTAGATCCATAAAGTGCCAGGCTGGAAACCAGTGAAAACAGAAATAGAACAGTTACATACCAAGACTATTTTGGGGTGTATTGCGACTTGAGTTAATGCCAATTTGACATTTGACCTCTTACAAAATAGGTGGATGTCCATTCTTTCAACCTGCATATGTACATAATAGTGTGGTTTGGGGTTTTACGCTCTCCTGTAAAGTCACAAAAAACGATATACAATGCTTCCAACTGGTTTTAAACCTGGTACTTTCTGGATCTACAGTGACGATATGTGTCTCAATTTCTCTGAACTGCATCAAGCTGGATGAACAAACTAAAGACTTTTCTTATCGACACTTGCACAACTGAATGAAGACCCACTTTCACTTTTTTCTAATGTTTTTCGTACAACATTGCTACGTATGGTTTATTGCAGACTGTCTACAACAATTGTAATACTGGACGTGTTTGGTATAAACTGGATGTCATTGGCTCTCTTTCTTTGAGATGATAATTTGGCCCGTTTGTGTGTGCACTCGGTGGTCAGGAAGAGGTGAAAAATTGGATGTTTATGTAAGCTTTTAGACAAATTGCTGAGCAAAGTCAGAGTGCGGGTGTAGCATTGTAATTGGGGATAGTTTTAGGGAAATGAGAAGTCGAGTCGTTTTGGCTGGTTAAGGGAAAGCTGTCACCCACACAGTTTGGTTTATAGGCAGGAACGGCTGAGAAGCAGTCTTCGTTGGCGAGAAAGTCTGCCTGGGGAAGAGAAGAAGGTGGGGAAGTCAGGAGTTGGAACTCTTTCAAATAATGGACTTCTAATTGAGCTGTAATCAAGACGAGAGGTTTCTGCGACTTGCATTCCGAATTTCCCTGGAGGATTTTCAAAGTCAGTGAGGCGGTGAAATGCTTGTAAATCGGGTTTTCACAAGAAGAAAGATTTTATGAAGTGTAATTTCCTCCTACTTTTACCTTCGCCAAAGACCTCCTAATATCCCCACCAAGGAACCCACCTGTACATACGGGGCGTCTATGCATTTACCAACCCACCCCAGCAGCGATACTTTGGTAATCGTCGTTTGCAAGGAAAGTGACTCTGTTCTGAAGCGACAGAGAAAGTGCGTCCTTTTTTAATTCCAAACCGTTCGAGCCCAGAATGTAATTGGTAATAGGGCCGTAAAAGCAAACATGGCTGTAACAACTTTAGTGGATTATGTCGGCTATCTGCTCTCTAATAGGAAAGAGCTGGATAGGATAAAGTCGTGTATTGCCACAAAAAATTGTCAAAATTACTGAATCAATGAATATAACATACAGATTTATTTTAGTTTCAATCACTTTAGTTTAATTTTCATTAAGTTGAGGTTTCTGATACTTTTGTAGATCTCATATCTGTAGTTCGGACTTTCTCCGCTCTACACTTTTCTCACTAATGACTAAAATAACGAATCAAAGAAAAATGATTTCTCTCAAATGAATGTCCTTCACCTCTGAGGACGCATGGGATTTTGAGCTTTAAAAAAGTTAGAGTGAAAATTAAGTAAAAAACTTGTTAAGGCTTGGAGGTACAAACTTCCTACTTGAAACAAACTTTCCCCACTACTTGGGTTTAGTGCTAAAGCGTGACCCTGCATTTTGAAGTGAATTCAATATATTTGTCTCTCAATTTCTCAACAAATTCAATAACAAAAGTCCTCTTTGATTCTGCAGGTCCGTGTGATGGAGCAGCAGCTTTCAGACTCTTCCAACGCAGCAGCAGCATGGGCAATGGGAGAAGAGCAACCTGACAAACTGTGCAACCTTCAATTAGCTTTAACTGTTCGAGAAAAAGATCGTGTGATTTCGAGGCTTGAATGTCAAGTGGAAGAAATTGTAAGTTCGTTTCGTTTGATTTGTAAATCTGACTTTCTAAAGAGCAGACACAAAGTCAGCTCATTACTTACTTTCTCTCTTTCTTTTGCCGAGTGGATGCATGACTTTTTATAAAGAAAGTCAACATGGAAATGAAAGACAAATTTTTCTGCTTTCATGTGTCTCCTTCTGTAAACACCAAGATGCTTAATTTATATATTCTGAGTATTGAGTAAATAGGCTGTTGCGGCAAAGGAATGACCTTTGCCCTTGCCCAACTATGCACAAAATTTGTCGTAGGTATGCATAAATAAATACAGAAAGTCTGCACCAATAGCTTGGAACTGTACTGCTAAGTAGGGAATTGCATAAAACTTTGGTTATTACAACAAGGGCATCAAAATTGGGTACATTCTGAGGGCACATCATATAATTTTGGGGTATTCAAATATGTGCTTATAAAGTTGTACAGAAAATGATAATTCGATCAATTGAAATAATAAATCTTGTGGGTTTATTAGTTTATTAATTAATACTTGATGAAGTATATTTGTAATACTCGAATTATTATGCACAATAAACATTTCGCGAGGAAAATTGTGCTGCCTTAATATTTAGCAGGCCAAATTAAAACGCAGTGGCAGGAGCCTATCTGCATAGCTGTTATATAAGTGCTATATAAGCATAAGCGCCCTCCCAGCAATGGCACAAATACGGTTTCAAATTATTTCCTTTGCACAACATTTTTCTGTGAATCGTGCCTGGGATGAAACGCTGCTAATCTTCCTCTCCTGTCTGTCCATCCACTTTTATCACAAACTTTGTTCACCTGCCAGGTCTTCTTCCTGGCGAACGTGTTTAGCTCCATACTATATTTTTGCTCGAAACTCTAATTTCCTGCCATGCTCTACGTTTTGACTATACATATTTAGTCCGTTCTCGTTCTTTAGTGCAGCTCACATTCCTAAAATACGCTCCTGCGATGTACATATCTCTACGGCTGCAGGCTTACGAATAATGTATGTGCGTATAGTGAAATAAAATAATTTCGCAATTTCCGTTTCAAGTCTCTGCCGTAATATTGGCTGGCTGGATGGCTTGCTTTTTAGGTTTTTTGTGAGATAAATCATCACGGAATTAGAGCTTTTTGGAATATGTCACGTTTTCAATTATTGCGATAAGATAAGCTTGCGTGCAGTAGTTTCACGAGACGAGACTTGAGCTGAATCCTGAAAGCGTCATCATCATCCGAGTTCGTTTCCACTTGGTCAATAAAGGTGGAATCCGGGAAAATGACTTGACTACACCGTGGTCAGGTGGAGATCTAATAAGCTAATGGAATCCGTAGGATGAGGCATGGAGGAAATAAATCAACCAAAGAATTCATTCCCATCCGATTTACCAGCTATATCATTCAAGGGCTACTTATTACTCCTGAGCAAAACTGGAGTATGGTCTCGATAGGTGCATGTTATGAGCAGAAGAGAAATCGTCCCTGTGCAATTTCCCATCAATTCATCCACTAATTTTGCTGAGAATAATGTCCGTTATGTACCTTCAGCCAATAAAGAATCATCAATTTGCTTCCGATCTTACATATCCTTTTATCGCTCACATTTCTTGAGCATTGTTCACAAAACTGAAAATCATTAATCAAATGTATTCATTCACTTATATGTACCTTATCAAGGAGTTATGGGTATGTATGTACCTCACGGTTTGCATGCTTATTAATTACACGAAACATGTCGGGAAAGCTGACCACAATGGAGTTGAGCATTAAAAAGCTCGGAACCTTAATCTAAGAAATGAAAAGTATAAAAAAGGCAATACACCTGCTCCAATTTTTTGCCTACATGAAGTGTAATTGTCAAAAATTGACACAAAGTTTCCCCGCTGAACGGCTTGGGAAACTCTGACGGAGAAGAGTTGGTGACCATTAATTTATATCACATATCAGATGGCAGGGATGGAATCCGGATTGAGTCAGGGAGCAAAGTGACCTTTGTATAAAACAATCAGAAAGCGTATCACAACATTAATAGGTTATCTACTTTGTCGGACGAAATTCTTCGCCAAGGTTGAAACACTACGTTTTCCTCCAGGTTCATCACATCGCTTCCATCCTGCTGAGCAACAAGATTAGGAAACACATGGGAGTACGAAGAATGAAGAACCATTTTGTAGTGTTTCAGAGAGCTACTAATTGTGTGCTCACAAAGCTTGTAAACCTCCATGTTATTAGATTTTTCGAGACCATGGCTTTTGTAACGTGTCAGCGGTAGTAAAAATTGAGCGTGGAGAAAGGTTTCTTTTTTTCCATTTCCTAGGGATACTTTTCATCCACTGCATTCCTTTTATTTACCTGCGTGAGTATCAACACTACAAGAAGTCGAAAAAATGCTTTCTTTGGCTCGACACAGTTTTTTCTTGCGTTACTTTGTTCTCTTATTGTCATTAAGTCGCACATGGTAGTCGAAGGCGATGGAAACTATATACCTGAGCCAGGCCAGGGGATTTGCTGCTCCCGTTATATAAGTGAACACAAAAGCGAATTAGGTATGTAGCTTTTCAATTAAGGAATCACAAGGTTTGCATACTTTACACATTCACAGCCGAAGCTTTCTTTTTCGCTTAGCTTAGTCGTGCTGTGTGTACAACTGGGCAAAGCGATGACGCTCAAAGAAACATTGTCAACTGCAGTGTCACTGCAGGAGGCATTTTTTATTCAGGATTGGTGAAGTACCCACAGAGTAATTTAAGGACATCAAGAAGGTACACAGTGTTCCCCTGGTCATCCGAACACACACGGCCTGACTGACTGGCTGTCCGCACGAGATGAGTTTCGTCGGACACTCCAACTCGTATATTGCAATCCCCAGAGACCGATGAGAAGGGAAAAGATGGGATCGCGGATGACACCACCACCGCCACTCTCATCGTCTCTCATGACTTTCTTCACCTCTCGCGCTCGCATTCTTCGCCGGGCCACTATCGATCCCGCTCATCCTCTTTTCAAAACCATTCAACCTGCCTTCCTGCCTAATCTTCTTTATGTCGATGGCATTATTTCTCCGAGGGTTTGGTTGATCAGCCTGCCAGCCCGACTTGAACCCCTTCTTGGTCATGTTCGTATCTATCAGGAACGGTGAACTTTCCCTGCTTACAATGCACGGAGGAAGTGTCGTGGAAAATCTTCTATTATCCTAATAAAGCCTGCAAATTGAAATTCCGTCCTAACACCAAATGTTTCGCTTTCGACATTTTGCTACAAAGAATTTTATAATTCTTTTGCATAACTGTATAATATGCACACGTTAAAATGTTAGCATTTTATTATTTTCTCCATCCGCATTTCACTTTGTAAGCATGAGGAGTCATGAAAATATGAAAATTTTCACTTCATTTTTGTAAGGACAAAGACTTTGACCTTGTTCACAGCAATGTATACACACCTTTCCAGAGTGAAAGCAAACTTCGCAAACATTTAACTTCAGCAACTATTATTTATTTATTTAAGAAACTTTCAGAGTAACAAGTTAGAGTTTCGCTGCAGACGTTTGCTATGATCCAAGTTACGTAATTGGAGTACAGCAAATAAAGCTTTCCTTTGGCTGATGAAGTAATTTTTGGATTTTTTGCAAATATTTGGAGGCCAGTAACTTTGTTTGACATTAAACACGATGGCAAGATTTCTGTGTCGCATTCCCTTCCACGGTTCGTTAACCGTAATTATTGCCCAAGTTTGGCAAGTGCACCAATAATTTTCTGAACAAGCCCCAGTTTGCCATATCCCCACAAAAACTTTTCGCATCAATCGGTCATTCCTATCGCAAACGACAAACGATATAACTCACAATAAGCCCAAGTAAATATCATGGTCTTGGCAAATATAGAAGAAATCTTCACACAGATCCGCGCAGCCACAATAAAATAATTTGTTATTTCTCGAATTTTTTACCTTTATTTTTACCGAGTAATAATATTTGAAAGAGCGGCGTGAATTATTAAATGGAAAAGAAGTGATGGAATTGCGTGCCAAAACTAATTTATATTTTAATTTTGTTTGTAACAGAGGCTACTGCGGCTTCAGGAGTCCAGACAAGTAGAAGAGAAAGCAGCTAAAATTAAGGAGTGGGTTTCTAACAAGCTGCGTGATGTGAGTGACAATGTTTGTTTTATGCTTTCATATAAAATAAATGGAGGGGGAGAAAGCGACCCCGGTGTAAAATAGTATTTTATGTGGTGGAGGCTGCAAATAACACATTGTTGTATATCACACTTTAGCTGGAGGAGCAAAATGAGTGTCTTCGTGAACAGAATCAAAAGTGCGAAAACCAGGTACGTTACATTCTGCCATTCTTAAACTAAACTACTTATTATTAAATCTCGCACCTTATTTTCCTTGCAGTTGGAGCTGTTAAAGTCTCGCCTCACACAATTGTCAACACTTGAGCTTAAAAGTCTATCCAAGTCCAAGGATCGCCACTCGACCGAGGTATGTTCCTTACTTTCCTTCCTCTCTCAACCTACACAATTTCTGTCTAAAATGGCTAACCTGCTGAACATGGAAGGAGAAAAAAGAAGCGTAAAATAGTGTAAAAACGTTTAGCGTAATGCGTTTATAGCTGGTATATCTCTTGTTTGTTCGGATTCATCAATGTGTATGGAACATTATGTATAAGGCTCTTGTTTTGCATATAGGACTCTTCACGCGGAAGCTATGAGGGGGACCGACCAGGAAGCGATGAGAGTCCACCACACGACACTTCCGAACATAATGGTCATCACGTTTCTTCTTCTCAAACAGCGATAAGTCGATCAGCCATATCAGCCACTGCAGCATGCATAGCAGCGATAAAACGGCGTTCTGCAGCATTCGACAGTCCGGAGGAAAGGGAAAGACGGAGGAAAAGTAATCTCTCCAACAGCGGCTCAACTTCAGGTATAACAACTCTCGTGAATTTGATTAAGTTCAACCCGTCCCCAGAGTGCAATTGGCGTTTCTCATCAACGCGTCTTACGTCCTTACTTATGTACTTGCTTACTCACTTGCGCCGTTTGTTTGTGTGCTCTCCCTCTTCAATAACCAGGTGGAGGAGGTGTACACAACGGCTCCCTTCGTGACCCAGACCGACGTGATTCGCGAGGTTCCAGAGGTTCCAGAGTAGATTCTGGTTCCGTGGATATGGAGACACCTCAAAGTTTGAGTCCACGAAGTCCTCTGGACAGCTTGGAGCCTCTGGATGGATCCTTGCCCTCAATGTCGAACGGTGGTGGGGTGGTTATCGGACCTTCGTCATCTTCCTCGGCGCTTTCAGAGGTGCAGGCGTACACGGGGTCCGGAGGAGGAGGATCTTCGCAACCGGCCAGTGCTCAGTCCCTCCACCACCATCCTCATAACCTCCGTCACCCGACGAGTAGCAGCAGTTTATCATCACACCCTAGTCACCCCCTAGTTAATGGTCACGGGGTTCCAAGTGGCCTTCCTCATCCTTGCCTCCCTAGTCATTCTAGTCACAATAATAATAATAATAATAATAACAATCATGTGATTATAAGCAGTCCTTCTGCATATCCAGTCCCTCCGCCCATCCCCGTTCTACACCCCCAACCAATTACTATCAGTCATTCACCTTTGCCAGCCACTCCAAACGATGTAATGATTGGAGGATCCGAGTCTACCGGCTCATTAATAAGTGATAGACGTGCACCTATCGTCCCCCCACGACGTTGCAGGACCCGGTCTCCAACGCCCAACACAAGCCATGGTAAGAAGAAGACACCCAACTTTGTAAATGATCACTCTCCCGAAAGCCGTGAGGACTATAAAGCAGACTCTGCGGTGGTGTGGGTCACAAAATTAGAATGCATAATGAAACTCTACAAATTGTTAAATTTTCTATGCAAAGCCAGGCCTCGTAATCTTGTAGGCCATCACAAGAGCCAACAGTTACATGGTCGTCGTAGCATGTATGCAATGTAAGCACTGTGGTCATCATGAGTTGAAAATCAGAATATTCTAAAAGCTTAATTTGTGAACTTGCTACAACCAAAAGTTTCCTAGAATCTGAACATGTGACATCTTGGCAATTCTGCATAGATTGAGAAACTTTCTTTTTGACATCTCTTCTGTTTCAATGCCAAAATCTCAAGGGGAACACATTCTTGTAGCTCATAAAATCCAAGACTTTCTTTTATGCATACACAGTGGAACTAGACACATAGATAACGTCAGCGCCGTTTTAAGTCAACGTCAACCCACGTACAGTGGTTAGATACTTGGGTACTTGCTTATAACTATACTTCACTTATTAGAGAATCGCAATTCTGGCAATCATGCTTGTACCTAAAACGCATCACTTTCGTTCTGACCGTCGCTATCATTACGATGTATCGTATTCCCTCCACCTTTGATATGCAACAGGATATGCTCATCTGTCACATCGAGGAGCACACGATATGAGAATGATATCATAATGTTATAACTTTGATCGGTTTCGGATGTTAGTTCCACTTGACTTGGGCTGCTCGTTGTACAAAGAGACGAGGTGATTCGATTGGATTGTCCTTGGGTTCGTATCCTGAGCTGAACCATGACATTGGCATCATAAGAATAAGGACGCTGCTGCCGTCTCGGCTGCTTTGCTCCATTCAACGGCGCATATACGGCTGGTTGTAATAAGGAAATATGAAATACTTATAAGCTCGAGCGAGATGAAACTTGTATTTCCTGAGGACACTTCTCTTCATGTGATCCAGAGGCCTGCGAGTGGTCTGGTCTTTGCTCGACGGCTTTTGAAAGGGCGAATGAATGACGAAATGGGAATTCCAGTGACCACTACACTCTGAAACCACTCAGACCGCTTTCTCCATTTCTCCCTCATACATACTTGCTACCTACCTCACACACATACCTCGGTCACAGACACTGACAGTCCTATTCACAGTTTAGACATTTTTATTCAATCAAAATCCTGATAGCTTCTTATCATCGTCAGCGTATAATACAAGTATTATCCTCAAGTTGCAATTGCCGACTGTGCCGCCTGGAGCTGAATCAAATTTTATCTCGTTCTTACAAAGAATGTTAATCTTCCCATTTGACTGTGAATTTGGAGTCCAGCCATACTTTACAATACACTCTTTAATCGTGCATTCAACGAAAATTTGTGGTGTGTATGTATATTTACTGTTGTGCTGCATCAAATAAGATTCCTGATTGCAACAAGATCTAAGGAATCAGGGCAATTACGTTATTTTTCCCGTGTTCACCGCCGCAAGATGGGTTTTTAGTTTCTGTTGTGAAATTTAATTACAGTTACCTCCAGCAGTCGTGGAGATCGATAAACTCACCAGGGCATACAAACTCTCGGCTCAGATTCAAGAGAGAAAAGTGCTCTGTCTTCTTTAGTGTTATAGCTGATGGTGAAAGAGGATTCCATCTTTATTGCTCTTTCCGCGGACTTCAACATATAGCTACATCATTACCAGCCCATGCTGCACATCCACACGGTTTACTATACTTATAATTCCCTGCTTTACAATAATAATGTCTTACGAGAGAGGAAGCTCGGAATCGTCGTCTTCGGCCAGCTTCTTCTCCATTTCAACGGGTATATCGTCCTGCGTTTTTCTGCCTCTATTTTAATTATGTTGGTTTCTCGTCGATACATCAAGTTGCATAATCTGTATCAATCTGTTAATTAGATAGTTGACCAGATCCCGATTTAAACTCTTGTTTTGTCAGTTTCTCCGTAAGAATTGCATAAATGGGTGTGTATACACATGTATATGTAAAATGTACGTACGAGTATTCCCTGCGCCATTCTGAAATATATTGAGAAATGTGAGCAAATTTTCTCTTCATGCTGTAATACTTTTCACCAATGGGGAGTCAAAGTACCCACATAATATTACTCAAAAGTGAAAATGCGATGGAAAAAGTTCCAAGTTTTATAATCCATTTTCACTTCAGCGAGCTCATTCCGGGAAATTTTATTACTTTTGAGACTTTTGTTTTAGTTTGAAGACATTCCCGAGTGAAGTGATGCTAGCTGTCCGAAAAATTTATAATTCATAAGCCGTCGCTTTACAAAAACTTGTCCGCACAGGAATATGGTTGGGTGTTGGGTAACAGGACCAATTTAATGCAATGGGACATAATAAAAGAGAATAATTTGCGTATAGGATATTTCTCTCATATCACACGAAATGTTGTCACCTCCTCAGCTGCTCCTCCGCCTACTTCGGCTGTGCGTCTCATCTTTTTATTTGACAATTTCCCGTCAGCAATGTGTCCTCGCTATAGGCGTTCCTCACTCACCTATCTTTTGTTGAAGTTTTTAAGACGAGTAACTCGAGCGAAAATGAGGTCTCAAATGTTGATAGCTCACTGTCAACCAACTTTTAAATGAGGTTGTAATGGGCCACTTGGCTTTAACGTCCAATTTGCTGACAACATTATACAAGTTATTGCCCTCCCCAGCACATTTCAGTTCGTTAGTGGGTGACATATTTGTTCCCATTATTCAGTGAGTGGGATAAATAAACGCAGCTTTGGAGCAAGTGGTCGTGCTTCTTTTCAGTCACGTTCGCTTTATGTGGGCCCTATAATACTTGATATCTGTTGACGTTTATTGCTGACAAATTGTTTATATACAGCCCATCAATGAACAAAATCAGGAAAAAGCTGCAGATTTATCCGTTTTCCTTGAAGGCCTTGGTAATATTTGTACGAAGTACAGATGGAAAAATTCTGCTTATTAGTATTTTGAAGTAAATTACCATTCAAGCAATGTAATCATTATTAACGCTGTTTTTAATGGAAAATCAGAATTGAGTTGATTGTCGAATCAGCTAGAATTTAATCTGAGCAAGCGAAATCGGAAGAAGAGATCTAATCGATTAGATAATCTAATTTGTGTATCTTCTACGTCTGGCATGTTCCTTTTCTGTAGCAAAATCCTGGTTTTATTGCAGATTTGAATTATGTCAGCACTCCAATGGCTTGCCTCCATATGTACAGATAAAAAAACGTCAAAACGCAGGGCAGGATAATTTGAGAAAGATGCGAATCTGCATAATATTCGTGTGTTTATCTTATATCTGCAACTTTCAGAGATTTACTTTGAAGCCACATTACAAAATATTTGACTTTGTTATAATGAGTCATCCTGTAATTTGCATTTAACCCCTAGTCTGCTTGACTGTGAGTGACATGTAATATATGTAAGTAGATCCCTAGGACTCATAATAATATGTCAAATTTGAACGCTTTTTCCTAGCACAGCAGTTGATATTTGATTGAGTTTGGCTAAAAGGAACGTTGCTGGTTGCTAGGTTGGCAGATGTATTTAGTGGAAGTCGTATGGCTTCTGGCAGCGTTGATTCTCATCTTTTCAATTTGAGACTAAAGTTTAGAAGTGGAAAGGAGAAGAATCCCTGCGCTTTCACTTACACCTACTCAACTTTGTCCACACCTTTAAATGTTAAAGTTTATCTAGAGGATGCCCACAATACGTACAGGCAGCAGCGTAACTTGCTGGCTGATTCACTCATCGTCAGCTACGATTAGAAGAGACAACCATATTTTGCAAAAAAAGGTTGCAAAGCACGGTTAGACTTTCATAAGGCATCAGTGACTCTGCAAATACGAGGCTGAAAGGTCTCCTCTCTCCGTCTCACTTTCTCCACTTCTTGGCCTGCGCCAAATAATCTTTCCAATCTGACCTTTCGTACTGACAATTTACAAAACTTATTGCTGTGAGTTTTAGAACATTATTTTAAGTCTTTGTGACCTTGTAGTTACTTAAAAAAAATAAATATATAACTAGCATTTAGTGCGAATTTCGAACTGTGTACGTTCATAAATATAGTTCATATGATCTCTTTCTTGAAGATAAGATTTGTAACATTATCGGAAGCTGGCATATTCGCCAGAATATAAACCAAGACGCAATTGACACGAGCAACACAGGCTCTCCGAGCTGTCCCAGAAAGGAGTAAAAAGTCACTCACAGCATGGCTCCTGTATCCACAAGCCATAACCATAAGCAAAATTTCAGACCATGTGTATAGCACTTAAATCGTACCACGTAAATCTGATTGTTTCGAATAAAAGTGGAAAAATATGTCCTCACTTTCTAAGCCCACATCTCATGAATCTTGTGAAATAGATTTTTGGCTGCTTTATACGTCGCGACGGTGAAAGTTTGTGTGGTGAAAGTCGATTCAACTTGTTGTATTATTTGTGTAGGAACCACTCCTGGAACTTGTAGCCCCCCAACAACCGAGGAGGAAGATGCAACCGTCCTGAGGGGTAAGCAACTTGTGTATACTTTATTTAATCACTTGGAAGACCACGTGAAAAATCACAAATCCGAGCCAACTTCGAATGAATTCGAATGAATACATTGAATTGACCAATGTATGTTTTCCAGCTCGTCTCGATGCAGAGTGTCAGCAACTTGCGAGAGATTTGCAAGCGGCAGTGCGAGAACTAGTTCGACCAGAGCTGTCACTTGGCGGTGCAAGGGCTTCCAATTTAGGTGGAAGTAGCAGCAAAGTCAATGGTGGTTCATCTTCCACGAGAGGGAAAGCCATGGATGAGGTGCACGACTACTCTGAGATTTACACGCCAAGTGCAGAAACTCCAGAAAATTGTCTTCCACTAGGACAACCCCCACCGCCTCCAATCCACAGGTACTTTCTCCCAGTACATTCAAGTACATAAGAGTACATACAAGCACCTTTTCTTTCCTTCCCAATAAAGATTTCCAGAATGGGAGTCGAGAATTTACCAAGTTGCTGCAGGAGGCTTAAAGGTGCCATCAAATGGAAAAGGAGATACCGGTGGCGTCAGCGGTGGTGGTGCTGGAGAAATATCCTGCGGAAATGGTCGCATATTGTCTTACCACTCCCTTGGCATAAATTTTTCCGTTCCCGTATACACCACCGTGAAAGGCGTAAGTAAATCTCACCTCGTAAAGTTATTGCTCCTTGTAAATTAAATATTGTGCCTTTACGCAGTACTCGAAAGTTTGTCTAAATTCAAAACTTGCTTTCTTTTTCATGTGCAACAGCGAGCCAGCAGGATTCGAGACGCGCCCTTCAGTGGTGACTCTTCGGATTCTTCAGATGGAGAGGAATTAGGCTCAGGATCTGGCTCAGGACCTTCCCATCCAATGAGCTCTGGCGAAACTGATATCTCAAGTCCTGGGAAAATCTCAATTGCCAATAGTCTTTCACCCTTGCATCGATCTTCGTCTTCATCCAAAAGTGTCCGTCGTGGTGAGTCTGTTTTGCAATTTTCTACAGATTCGTTCCCAAAGTTTGTCAGAGCAAGAATTTCCGTGAGTGGGAGGCTGGGTGGGTGTGCTGCTTGGTGGTGGTGGTGGTTCACATACATACGTACAATATATGTACGACGTCGGGACAAGCTTGGCTGGAATTTCCCTCAAACTCTCTCCTACTCACTCCTGCTGCTCCAGTTCTTAATATCAGTTTAGGAAAAGTTTTACGTTGGTGGTGTGCAACGAATTTACGGCACTTTCACCACTTCTTTTATTACTTTTGTCCAAAGCCTTTAGCACTTTTCTTCTTTTTTTTATCTCGGTTGTGCTACGAGAAAATAATTTGAGGAGACCTTAATGTCCCAATGAACTTTGTTCGTCAAGTGCCCAACTATTTCTCTCGTCGTCGTGTTAGTGTGGGATAGCATGGCAAAAAGTAAACATAGTTTGTTGCCCCACCCAACCAACTTCAATTTAATTAGAATTCATTGAAAGGTTTTGAACAATTTTTTTAGCAAATTAAGAAAAGCAACCTATGTATTAATTTAGCACTGACAAAATTCCACTCATTTTCTCACGCTCATGACTTTCCTCTCAGGAACAAAGTGATAAAAAGAGTTTTCAGGCAGGAAATTATGTATTGCAGAACCTTCCTTCGGCGAATCAGAGATTTCGGACGACTACGCGATCCCACCCGATGCTTTCGCCAGTGAGACCAGTAGCCTAGACCTCGCGCTTTCATCGGGTTGTAATTTGACGGCGACGGGTGTCGCATCCATTGCACCCGGTACCGTGTCCCTCGGCCCTTCCTCCGGTTCCAGCAATCCATCCGGCGGCATCGTTAACTCGGTGGAAAGCTCCCCTCGAAAAGAGTCGCTGGAGAAAGCAGGCTATTTGACTAAACTTGGAGGAACGCTAAAAACTTGGAGGAAACGTTATTTTATACTTAAGAACGGGACCCTCACCTACTGGAAAACACAGGTTTGGCTGATTAACGATAGGAAAATTTGTTTGTTTGTTTCCGCCGTGTTGTTTGTACACCATGACAGAAATCCTTGTTTGCGAAAGTTTTAAAGCAAAAAAGAAGTTTAGAGAACTATATTCCCAACAATGCGCCTTGGAGTGCTATTTAATTATACTTAATTATCAGACTTGACATTCAACTCGACTGAGCTGTGTGTGTGGGGGGACAATCCCAACTTTCTCCTCCCTCGTATTTTTAAACAACAGGCTCCTTTGAGCTCCTTTCCCATTGGAAACTTTCTCTAGTCAAGTGCAATGAGTAATCGTATTTCATGGTTCAATTTTTAGCTACAATTATTCTATAAATATTCTAAACTGTTTTACGAATAATTCAACAAATCATGTACTCTACAAATTCGTATTTTATGAATGTTACAGCAAGAGGCTTCTCGACGACCAACGGGGAGAGACATCCTGTTGGATGATAATTGTCGTATAAATCGAGGTGATGGAGCTGCAACGTTTGAAATTGTTACGGTGAAGAAGACGTATTACTTGACGGCTGATTCTACGGCTGGGGTCGATGAATGGGTTAAAGTTTTACAGGTAACCAAACTTATACATACGAATATTTGGTGAAATTACATTATTCCACGAAGTTATACACGTATTCGGGACTTTGATTTTTAACTGGGAGCCTTAATTTATAGAATGTTGTTCGACGTAACGCCACAAAGTTGGTGTTGAGCATGGAAGACAGCAAACCCACGGTTCAAGGGTGGCTAACGAAAGTGAAAAACGGTCATGCAAAGCGGTGTTGGTGTGTCCTTACTGGAAAGATGTTCCTGACTTTTAAGTCACCTTCAGATACGGTAATAATAAATTCACAATGCTTTTATGCGCACAGTGTCTCTCTCTCTTTCTGCATGAGCGGAGAGATGCATCTCACAATTTCATCTGTTAATGCATCCGCCGTTCATCTACCTACGTACTGATTGATGAGCATGAAGAGTACTTTGGCTGACGGTATCTGTGTTCACTTAATTAAACTCGTGTGCACGGGATGAAATGAGTTTGTGGAGTGAGTTGGAGGATATTATATTATGATGCTGTGTGTGATAGAAGTTTGGTTGGTTTCCGTTAATTTATCGTCTGTAAAAGTTGACTCCTTGATGCGGCTCGCTCTCCATCCCAAATGGCTTAGTGTGGAATTAATGTATTCCAGTTAATTGGAGAAGAATGTTCCATTTAATTTGGATTGACACGTGTGTTTCATCACTAGTAATTAATGGCTTTGTTAATTTCTTCTGATCGCGTCCTCGTTCCCTTTGCAGATGGGCACGGGACAAGTTAATATGCGCGATGCGCGAGTGGAGGATGTGGATCATGTGTCCGATGACTCGGACAAAGAAGAGTCCCCAACCAACGCAACGTCGGATGTTTTCACTGTGGGAATTTTTCCTAGTCACCAGAGTCCTATCTATCTTCATTTTGCTACTAAACAAGAGAAGGTATGTACATACATAGGTCGTGTTACATAGCATACTGCCCACAGTTGGGGCGACTCTTAGTTCATATCGGTGGTGACCTTGGTGTTACCATTTGTGCACTAAATGGCGTCCTCATTCTCTTGCCTTCAACACTCCTGGTGTAACAGGAAGATTGAATTGGCGAAAAGAGTGAATGCTCCATAATGTTCTAAACGATTTGTGTATTATCCATTCCAGGACTCGTGGCTGTATCACTGTAAGTGACCTTTTCTGTGCTTATCTGTGATCTAATGACCTTTCTTTAGTGATTTCATGAGATGGTGATAACGATACAGATTATTGTAAATTGATTGGGAGGACGTAGTGTACGGTGACTGGAATGAGTTAATGATGGGTCGAAATGTAAAGATGTGGAAATGAGAATTTCTGTAACCATAATATTTTCACACCTTTCATCGTTGCCTTTTCTCCATCCTTTCACGTTTTGATTTTTTACCGCCTAATCTACGGTCCAAAATTAGACCATGACTTGAATACATGGTTTCATTTCAGAGGCACCCATGACCGTGCTTATTTTTAGGCAAAGGATTAAATTTGTAAAGCCCTTGGGGTGCAAATTGTATTATCGTGTGCATCGTTATGTATTAGGTGTGCGTCTCGCCTAGCCTTCTTGTCCTCCCGAATCATTTTAGGGTTTATCTCCTCGGTCGTTCATGCCCATTCATCTCTTATTATATATACATTACAACATAATGTTTAGTCGTTAGTAAATATTTAATAAGTAATATGTTGTATATTTATCCCAACAAAAGTGACGATAGTCTCTGGGAAAGGACCAAGTGTTGGAACACAATTTGAGCAGTTGGTCCACAAACTCATGGAGGTCGACGGAGATCCAAGTATGAAAATGTTACCTCCACTAAATTAACTTACGTGCACTTATAAACTAATGGGGAAGAGAGGCTGATTTGTAACTCTTGATTGGATTCAGATTCTACGTTATGGAAAAATCCACTATTACTCCACAGCAAGGAGAGCATCTCCACCCCGCTGACTTCACTGTCTTCACTTGAGCGTTCGGTAAGCCTCATTTTCTTGCAACTCTAAAGTATGAACACTCCTTAAAATACAACGTATGCATTGCAAATAATGCGATTTATAAATTATGATCTAAAAATTCGTTCTGAATTATGAGCATAATAAAATAATTACGTGTTGGATTTCACAGGAGGGAGAGCGACACCAGAGGAAAGAAAGGACGCCCCATTCGGCACTTCAGAACGAGGCGATTAAGCTGTTCAAGGTATGAAGGTCGCTCTTAGATATTTGACACTCTCATTATCAATGTGGTACTCGAGCACTGCTCGCAACCTTAATCCCGGTGAAGCGTATTATTTTTGTACAAGGTCACCTCCGTGTGAGGGTGTATTAGTAAAGATGTAACAAAAAATCCATAATAAATTCCAGCTAACCGAACGATTGCTATCATATATATAACAAAATACAGTGTATAATGTAGAATTTTGGAAATCGAGAATTTTATTACGTCCGGAATAATCTCATTTATAGATATAATCAAAAAAAATTACCTTACGATCGATGGAGCTCAAGGGTCATTGTCTAGCTTTGAACTAACAAGGGAACCAGAACTACTGTCCCATCTCGATTTCCTTCGGAATAGCCTTAATCGACAGATAATTTAGTGAAACTAAAACTTTGTCACAGAACATGCGGTGCAAAATCGCGTTTTCGCGAAATATTTAGCAAGGGCACCAAAACCTGCCATTTTCCCAATGCTTTTAACATAGCCAAGAGCCTTTCGACTGATGAAATGAGATGAAAATTTCGCAAATTTGAATTTTTAATTCTTTTAAATTCAACATAATTTGCAAAGTTTAATTAATGTAAAATATAATTTTTTTATTGCAAAAAATTTGCAAAAATTGAAGTTCGCAATTTTTCAATTTTTTTAATATTTTTATAGAGACTAAAATAGTATCATTTACATATGTACGAATCAAGCAAAACCTAATTTGTAGAACTAAAAAATCACGACAGAAATTGCATTTTTTGCAACTTGCAAAAATAAATATCGCAAATGATTTCGAAAAATGCGTAAAAATAGACTAGAATTGCTTATTTTAACTAATTTTCACGAAAAATTGCGAATTTCAATTTTTGCAAATTTTTGCAAATTTTTTCCAATAAGAAAAGGTATTTTACATTAGTTAAACTTTGCAAATTATGTTGAATTTAAAGGAACGAAAAATTCAAATTTGCGAAATTTTTCCGATTTTCGCAATTTGCTAAAAATTGACCAATGCTTGCATCGCGTTTTGCATATTCGTGATCGGGCTGAAATTACACGGGTATGTACATATATAATTTTTCAATATTCGACAAAGTTCATTTCATCATTCGAAAGGCTCGTGGCTATGTTAAAAGCATTGGGAAAATGGCAAGTTTTGGTGCCCTTGCTAAATATTTCGCGAAAACGCGATTTTGCACCGCATGTTCTGTGACAAAGTTTTAGTTTCACTAAATTATCTGCCGATTAAGGCTATTCCGAAGGAAATCGAGATGGGACAGTAGTTGTGGTTCCCTTGTAAGTATTCATGTAGAAGGGGACATGTTTTGAGGACAGAATTAACAGATTACTGCGTCTAACGATGATGAGAAAATATGAGTAATGACATCACTTTCACCTTAATGACATGGCTGGGTTGGTTTGGAAAGTTGATAAATTGCCCGTTCTTCTGCCTTCTCTATCACCATCAACTTGATTGGTGGAAGTCTGTATGATTCCAGAAGTTTTAACAAATAATATTTTTTAATTCTTGTCAGTCGGTGCAACTCTTCATGTCCGTGCCATTAGACACTTCGGGAATCGGTAAGGTTTAAATTAATAAAACACATGAAAAATAAATGAAATACGTTGTAATTTTTTGATCTCCAATTTCAGACTACCACGTTGCACTGGCCCAAAATGCTCTACAATTGTGTTTGGACTATAATGAACTTCAAGCAGAATTGATTTGTGCCCTTGTTAAACAGACATCGAAACAAATGAGCTACAAGAATGTGACATTGCACAAAATCAAACATTCTCGGGTAATTTGAACTTCAATATGCCACTGACGAATGTGCAGTAATATAATATATTTATAAATCAATATTGCATGTAATATGATATTACACATCATATGCAACCACAACATACATAATGTAATTATTTTGTTGCCCTATTGGGGTTTGATCTCATACAGCACTTTCTCCTCAACGCGACCCAGTCCTTATTTCTCTGCGACTCGTCAAGCAATCATCACGGGAAACTTCATGCCCAACAAAATCAAAGTAACCATCAGTCTTCTGCCCCATCGTCGTCATCATCACCTCCATCAAACCCAACCAATTCCCTTCTTACGACATCATCCCACCGAGCAAACAATCATCATGGAACGATTCCCAACACTGCCGTGGGCAACAACGTCTCGAAAGCATTCAACTCTAGCCTGGGCTCCAATGGTCGCAGCGGTTCACTTGGTACAAGCTCTTCCAGTCGATCTTCCCCATCAAAATCGAGTAAAGTCAAGGCTTCAAGTAGCAAGGGATCCTCATCTTCGGTTCCATCTTCTCCTCTCTTGTCCTCGCATAACCACAGCATGCATCATCGAGCTTTGTCGTCCGAGGGGAAATCCAGCGTCAGAAGTTTCGTATTCATACAAGGGTGGCAATTACTCGCCCTCTCTGTTTCCCTCTTCCTCCCCAAGAATAATAAATTGCTGTGGTACTTAAAACAACATCTCACTCGAAACATTGACACAAGGTATGGGTGGACTCAATAAAATGCCGATTCTTTCCAATGTTTGTTCTAATGTTTCCTGTCATCTGTCACGCAGAAGTGAGTGCGGAAAGTATGCAGCTTATTGCCAGAGATCAATCGAGAGAACACTGTGCAATGGTCCACGACTCTTTAAACCGTAAGAAAATATCCAATACGGTACTAAAATATTTGTCGGTCGAACTAATGACATCAATTACTATGCACACGCACAGGTCACGGATGGAAGTTTTGTCAATTTTCTTGAAGAATCCATTTCACCATTCTGTAAGTTGGCAAATAACTAATTTAATAGATTTTATTACCGCAGTTGAACGCAATGTTGCTTGACTTTAACAACGAATTCCCTAGTATGAAGACATCTGCTATTATTTATTAACTGGTTTAAACTAATTTTATCTGAAATAGTTTGGACATACAGAGCAAGATTTTACAATTCTGTCAGATCAGATTCTGACTTGTAGGTACTTTGCCCATACTGAAAATTTTAAATTTCATTGCCAAGTATTTGTTCTGCAAAATTTTTTTTTTCCCGAAAAGAATTTTATGAAGTGAGACTTGAGGTGTCTGGAATTTTATTCGAGATTGTACTTGAATCATATTTGAATTGAATCCAGCGAGCTGCTCATTTTTCTGCAGGCTCAATTTTATAAGCAATTTAAATGTTTGTTGGGGCTGTTCATCAGTCAGGGCATGGAATTGTTCCGACTATACGTACCGAAAATTTGATTGTGTCCACTTTTTCAGCTACCTCATTCCGTTCCCGTCCATTTCCTTAATGGTTCTTACACGGTAAGTTTTGAACAATGTATTTCAAGTATTCGATGTAATAACCATGTTTCTCGCGATTTTCTCAGTCAATCTAGAGACCATACGATCTAATGTTTTTGTATGATTTTTGTGTGTGTAGGTCGTAGGATTTGATGGGTCAACCACGGTCGAAGAGTTTTTGCATTCTTTGTGTCATGAAATTGGATGTCGGGAACCCCCACTGTCCGGTTTTGCGGTATGTCTTTTTATTATCATATTCGATTTGGTGTTAGGACCATTTGAAATAAACATTAAATATGCCCAAGCAAACCAAGAAAAAATAGTGAATGAATATCTTGATTAATAATAATGTTTATGTTTTTTTTTCATTTACTAGTTGTTTGAGGATGATCCATTTGAAAAAGACTTGGAGCACTTTTTGAAGTCAGATGAAAAGGTAAGCTGGACTCGATTCAGTAAAAGTTCATGCTATGAGATAATACTTGTCATTTCATAATCATATCATTTTCATTGCAGGTTTGTGATGTGATATCACAATGGGAAACAGCATTGCGAGAACGGGGGTCAGGAAAATTCGAGACGCGGAGAGCAGTCACGCTTACTTTCAAGTCAAGAATTTACCGACGGGCAGGCGTCCTACAAGAATCCGACAGAGAGAGATTACTCCTGTGCTACCAAACGAATCGACATGTGGTATCAGGAAAATTTCCGCTCACGCGCGAGTTGTCACTCGAGCTGTGTGCATTAATGGCACAAGTAAGTGTAGTTGAGGTTTCATTGAATTTGTGATAAAAAGAAACTAGCTCGGACTTGGTTGTCGGTATCGTAACAAATTGAATCTGACAGTGTCGCACTTACGACTACGTTCTGCTGAGAGTCTCAAGTCCTTTATTCTCATTGTGTGGTTTGGTGGTTTTATTTCCAGATTGATGGGGGCGATTATAAGCCTGACAGAGGTCGAGGAAGTGGTGGATCTCAACTGATTGTTCAAATTCTAGAAAAATATTATCCAATACGGTATCGAGACAACTTGTCTCAGGAGGAGTATAAGGTACGGGAATATCAACTCGAATAATTTAAATTGTATTTTACGCTGTTTAATAATTGAACTTTCTTTCTTGTTCCACAGACTCTTTGTGATAACTTGGTTGAAAAGTGGTCTTTTCTAAAGTGCAAGAGTTCCTTGGACTGCGTTCGCATTTATCTCACTTGCACTCGAAAATGGAGCTTTTTCGGAGCTACGCTTTTCAGTGTCAACGTAAGTGCTTCTTGTGTCCTGTTGTGTTGATAAATGTAAATAACACGTTGTATTGACCTTTCTTCTTTGCTAGGTTCGTGGAACACATGTTATCGAAGACGGAAGTTCGGCTTGGGCTGGAATTTGTGAAGATGGAATTGCAATTTTGGATAGTATTACGCTGCAGCAGATTGCAAAGTACAGTTACGCGTCCGTTATCACATTTGGGGGCGCAGTGGATGACCATTTTATGATTGTCGTTGATGATTGTGGGAAAAAGCGTCGCCTGTTGCTGGGAGGAATGTCAAAATTTAAGGTATTTATAATTTTTATAGACATCAATGACAATTATTGAGCTACATTTGTCTATGAATTCTAAATTATGTTCTGCTTAGGTTTTGGAGATGACAAGACTGGTTGCCGATTACATAAACGCGTGTTGTACGTTTTATGGGGGGTCATCAGCTAATACTTTGGGTGGATTGACTCGTCACAATTCTCTAAAGTCTAGCAGATTCCAAGGGAGCACAACATTACCTCCACCGACCCCAAGAATGGAAAGAAGACATTTAGGTTTGTCATTGTTTTTATGAAGCCAAGTATTAAATGAACAGAGTAAACAAATCAATATTTTTTTAATTCAGGGGCTACACCAAATCCGTCACCAATTCCAGTCCAACGCTGTGATTCTTCCAATACATTTCATAGGAACCAACAACCACACACGTAGAGGCGTTCACAAACACGCCTCTGAAATTAATTCAGTTAGAAAATTTTGCAGACAAACAGTCTTATTCGTCGCTATAAGAAAAAAGATGATATTTATTATTACAAGCTACCAAGTTTCCTACAAATCCATGCCGTCTCCTTCCCTCTTCATCGAATCGAATATTTAAAACCACGTTCATCTAGTATTACGTACGAGTACTTATTACGTGTGTCTCGCTGTATGCAAACTTAAATGACAGATGAAAATATTAGAGATTATATAATCTATTCGACAAAGGCTGATATTTTCCGAGACAAAATTATTACTCTGACATTTTTTACTTTATGATTATTACTGTTATTATTATGATCTCTAATTGTTATACATACGTAGATTTAGTAATACTCGTACCATGTTGTTTTTACTTTTTCATAATAAATCGAACTACTTAAATTATAAAACGTACACGACCGTAGCAGTTTTTCTTCCGCGTTGGTAAAATATTTATAAGCTCGGCCCATCATATGACGTTGAACCAGGTTTAAAGGGTTTCTAAAACAGGACGAGGAATTGGATCCCAAACCAACTATTGGAAAATTTGGGCGAAGACAGCAATTTCAGCACGCCAACCGAACTTCAACAGTCGTGATCTTTAGCCCCATGGGAAGCATAAATCTGAAACTTTGGAGGTCTTCCTTGTCCAATAAATACTGATACAGGTGAGGGAAACAAGCCATTCGATGAAATAAAGTTTTCCAGACTTCTATAACCTAGTTGGTCATTCGCTGGAATTGAGGACATTTTATCTGTGTACTTTCCCTCCGGCATACATCGATGAGTTGTGACCGCAGGGGAGAATAATAACGTCCATTCTAGCTTCCTCCTCCTCCTCCACACATACCTGTAGACATACATATGCACATACATATGTGTCTTGAGAAACAGCGCGCAGATATGAGAAAAGGCCCACAATTGCATTCACTTATTCGGGTACGAGATGCGTCGAACTTTCGAAAATCGGCGATGGTTTTAAAGTATGCTTGAGACATGATCACATAAAAATCATATCAAATAAGCTATAATGATAACATATCATGCACCAGATAAAAAGGTACCTAAAAAGACTCAGATCGCATTTGAAGGCCAAAGTTCAAGAGTGATAAAGTTTGGTTACTTTTTGTTTGTTTTCACCGCTTTCACCGTCCGTCGAGTGAAGAAATTATGGCAAAGATTTGAACAGATTTGAATTGAATAGGTAGCAGTAAATGTTACGTTTATTTCGTTTATATCACAGGCAAAACCTAAATAATTTGTTCAAAATGCATGACATGTACACAATGTCATTACTTGGACAAAACATTAATAATTAAAACATTGTAAGAGTTGTAAGAAGTAATAATTGCGGTTGACGAGTGAGTTTCAAGATAATGTAGCTTAACCTAAAGTGCAGTGCTAAATAAATTAACCTATCATCATAGACAAAGATGATAATTAATTTAATTGGTACATTCACTTACAATAGTGTGGTTAGTTAGTTGGTTGTTCGTAAGCTTAATTTTAATATTTAAGCAGGGGTTATCATTTTCGGAATGAAAACTTGAAGCGAACCAACCGGTAAGTGATTCGTCATCTTTATAAAAGTTATATGTGTGTGTGTTACGTGTGGCAAAATGCTTCCAATTCACACCATTGAGAGTTTGTCATATTCGAAACTTAACAAAACAGATTACACGCATATCAAGTTTACATCATTATTACTATTATTACACTGCAAATCGTATTACTTATCGTATTACATATTATTATTATTCCTATACACGTCTTATCTACCCCTAATTTGTGGAATGTTTTTCCTAATATCTCATAATGTCCATCAAAATATAGTTTGCCATGAAAATAGATTTGGATTGTAGGTTGTTGTAAGGTAATCAAGATTTCTGGATAGATTTAAATTCATATCTGCCAATATTCTACGTTTGCTACCGGATTCTGTGTATGTATGGTTTTCATATAGCCTACACTTTATTTTGCATTGCACACAGTCAATTTCGTCATGCAAAGATGAAGGAATAAATAAAACTTTGAATGGATGGCAATCAGAATGTGTTCTGAGTTGCTCAACCAATAATAACAATAAAGAGAATCATAACGAGAAGATTGTTTAAGGTCAGAGGTGAAGAAGGTACTTTGCGAAATTTCAAGTAATTTACTTGCAGTGATAAATTATTCCCCAATGTCATTTTGTCGAGTATCCATGTACAAGACTAACGACTATGTAGAGCTAATTAAAACATGTATAAATTAGACAATTAGAGAAACCCCTGATCCCAAGCCCCATTATACATAAGTACAAAGTAAGTACACATTTTACAGCCGCGTGAGATTGAGCCTTGACTAAAATCGACAATTAAAAAAAACGGATGGAGCTGTATGTAGATTTTGAAATAACACAACCTCAAGCGGCTGTATTAATGTATCCACGTACCCATTTCTGCGAATTTGGTGGAGAAATTACCCATTCTCCATGTATTTATAATTATATTTGTGCCGCACAGAGTTGCCACACACTTAAAACTTATTGTTTCAGGCTTATTCATAGACGAGACAGTTATGAATATAATATTTATGTGGATACAATATATATTTATATTGACCGAAAATTGGAAAAGTTTGTCTCACTATTTGTCTATTAAAAAATTCATGATATTTTCACTTATATTGCTCTTGTCATAAAGATAGCATTTCTAGTTAAGTTCGGGTTGAAAATTTCTTCTGTCATTAACTTTTAAAATAGGCAATTTGCACTCATGAGTTACAAAATTTTAAAAATGTCTTTGATGAATTACCTTAAACATGTATTAGTATTACAATAAGTATCGTATTTATTATACACGAAAATTGTCAGTGCTGATTATTATATGTGGCTTCTACAACGGTTCATGCAACACACGGAATGTACAATTTCTTAGAACGCAGTGCTTGTGAAAAGTTGAAGTGTAGGAGGTTGATTGATATTCTGACGAATTAATTGCGGTTAAAACGGAAGTTTTGCATACGCATTAGAACGTAGATATTTGGTACAAAAAGTTTTAAAGTAACTCATGGAGAGGCAATCGGAAGGGTTGTATTGGCTGGTTTATTTTTATCAATCGATGCGCACTAAATCTGGACGAATTTTTTGAAAGGAGTGACGACGCGTGAGTGATTAATTTTTTACTGATTAAGTTATGCAGAAAATAAGTGCGCACCACTATTGAGCGCTTCGAAATAAAAAAAGTAACTACCAAAGGAAGCCAAAATTAGTGAAAGATGATACAATTTAATGGGGATCGGTGCAAAGGAGAAACAGGTCACGGGTTCAAATTTGGCTATGAATACTTGCTAAATAAGACAGAATATAAATTCAAACTTATATCTGAAACCACAGATCGATCTTTCTAGCTCATGTTTCTTGACTGTCTGTCCGCACAGGTGACCATGCGAACAAAGGGTTGAGCAATGCTGAATTCAATCAACAGGTACTCGGCGACGAGAACTTAAGAAATTGATATTAAGTAAATAAATTGGAGATTAGGCGAAACAAAGACAAATTATTTTGGAGGATAAAAACTCTATGAATTTAAGCGTGGGGTCCACGTACATATCTGTACTTTATGTTAGGCTAGTAAAGGCTTTAATAAAAACCCATGAACCTGAGATACGAGACAAAATTGTGGCTGCTTAAAAAACATTAATAATATTTAACTATTGTGTTGTTCAAAAGCTAGATAAACAGCGTTGAACTGAGTTACATAGCTTTTTAAGTATTTAACTGTGCAATTATTCTGCACATAAATATTCATTAAATTTTAAGTGTTAAAACATTACCGAACACAAGAATCGATTATGAAGTGAGGCAAAGACGTGCGTATGTATAGATTCAAAAACGCCGTGGTTGCAATCATCAAATATGAAACAAAAATTTGAAAATGAATATCACAGAAACTCGCGACATCCTTTGCCAGTGGGTATGATTACCGCCTTGGGAGGCAATAATGGTTCTTTTGACCCTGCCGAGGACGTTTTACTGCTGGAACCCTGTTCCTCTATCTCATCTTCAAGCATTTGTTGTACTGTGGAATCGGAAGTGGACGCCCTGACAGGTCCGCTTGAACTGGAAGTTCTTGGTCGCTCCTTACTCCTCCCGCCTCGCTTATCTTTGGACCTACCACCCACATCCGAACTAGTCACACGGGATTCGGGGGAAAGCGTGTCGTGGTCGGGAGTCTTATCCCGATCACGGTGGTGTTTCTTATCTCGGTCTCTATGCTTGTGATGATGATGACCTCCACTGGACTTGTGACGACCAGATCTTTTCCCGTCGTGGTCCTCCCCTCCGCTTGCAGGACTTGTATCCCTTTCCTCACGGCCTGTACCCCCAGTATCTGAGTGCATAGGAGACGTCGGGCTGAGCAATCGATGAGAATAATGAGGTGTACTTGACGATGAAACTGCCACTCCCATTCCGGGACCATTCAATTGTTGGTTGAGTTTGTTGGCAATGTCACCCAAAAGATCTTCGAGCTGCAACAAATGTAACACGATCAGTCAAAACGATCCATGAAATCAGCAACAGTGGAATAATTGCGTTAAAAAAGACCAAATTTAACACTACATATTTCTATTATTTATATAAATGCCAGATCATTGAAACAAACCCACCTTGTTCATCTTTTGGTTTAGCCGTTGGATTTCCAGTTTTACGTCCACCTTAAAATCCATCATGTTTGATATAATTTGTTGATACTCTGCGGAAGTGGTCGAGGACATTAAGGCTGCTGCAGCAGAAGTGGCTGGTTGTGCTAGAATAGAAGCTCCAGTAATCATGTCTTTAGCAGGGCTTCCTACCGAAGCCGTTTCAGTTAGCTCATCAATAGTCTCCTGTCTTCCAGAAGTGACAATTCCAGGCTTCGTCTGTTTCGGGAAAACTTTGTTGCCTGAAGTTGCTTGCTTTATCTTTCCCAACTTGGAGGTGGGTTCGGAGGGCGGGGGTGGCTCAACAATTGCTTGAACTCGGGTTTCTTCACCTGAATCAAAGGAACTTGTGGAAGGTTTGACGGCAGGAGAAGGCTGCGGAGGTGTGGATGAACTGCCACCACCCCCGCCGGACCCCATTAAAGCTCCCCATTTCCCTTTCGGTTTGACAACAGGTGCAGCTTTCGGAGGTGGACCGGCTTCATCCTTCTCCGTGGAGAGTTTCGTGGTGGAAGGGGCAACTTTGACGACTTTGCCCAAGTCTTGTGACAGAGAGGCATCATTTTCACTATCACTCGCACGAGCACTGTCACCTTTCTCAATGTCTTTAACACTGGAAGTATCTGTTTGAAGACTTGACCCTGTTGAGACTCGATCACCCCCTTTGCGAAACCGTGAAAATAATTTTCGAACTAAATGATCTTGCGTAACTTCTAGTTGTGGCTCATTTTTTCTCCGCTCTGCCAACTCCTTCTCTCTCTTCACGTCCGCCACTTTTCGGAAGATTAACTAAAAACCCCACACAAGAAAAAAACCGTTACAAGTCATTCAACTACTTTCGCCTACACACCGTAATCTTATTTTTAATTTATCTCGGTGGTGAAGCTATACATTTGCACTTTCACCGTGACCACGTCCTATTTCTCTCCCCTGCGCCTACATACGTATCTACTTATTTCCATGAAGTGAGAATATTTCCATCCACAAAGAAAGTCAGTTGCTTTCTCTGTCGTTAATTTCCCCGCAGGATAAAAGCAAACCGTTAATTACGAGGCTGATGAATGAAAGGTGTGCACTCAAGCTGTATGCGTATACATGGCGTTCTTTGTTTAGAAGTTTTCTGGAATCATATTAACCGGATCTTAAAGTTGTAATGAATGACAATGCTGTCACACCACACGCCGTATACGCAAATATATGTCTGCAGTACAAACATACTTGGGCATCCCCTCCATACAAATAAGCCTTGGTCGTGTAATTACTGGAGATGAGAAATGAGAGAAAGTTGGTTGCTTGCTTTTGTGGTATAGAGACAAGAATTGTTGTCGTTTTAGATTTTATGGAAGTTTAGAATCCCTCTCAGCCTCCGTCGTCGTCGTCATTGTAAGGAAAGTTGGTTCCCTTTTCCATTATCATTATTCCGTGACATGAGCAAGATGAACAAGAGAACACGGTGTTTTCTATTTTAATTCGGCATTTTATGGGCCTTCCTCCACCTTTGCTGTTTTACTAATGTAGAAGAGAATCGTAAAAATTTTATGTTCCAAGTCTGGATCTGGGTGTCTAAACTCACTCAACTAACTCTGGAAATCGCACTTGAAACAAGCCCATTACACATATTGCCGATAGGGTCAAACTCGTAAGAGCAAATCTCATGAAAGGAGGAGAAAGGTGTGGTCTGGAAAACATTATTTTCGGAAAAGGTCAAGGCTCAGCAGTTGGCACTTGGCAGTCATTTACTTAAATAATATGGGCTGATAGTATTAATACTGCTGCTGCCACTACTATAGGTATATGTACACGGATAGACAACTGCTCCCCACCTTAATTCCTAACACATGCTCAATAATCCCCGTCTATTTTTACCCCCAGTTATCTATCCAACCTCAGACGAGATCTGACCAAACCCTTTAATCCTTTATTACAGATTTAGCAAGGTTGCAAAACCTGGTTCTTCTCAACTTGTTTTTTTCCCTTGGATTTGATTTTTTAGTTGTTTCCTCCATCCCTTCCAAAAATTCTACTTGGATGCAGCAAAAATCAAGCCAAGAAATTAATCTGTTTTTTTCTACTTTTCGACGGTAACAAACGGGTGGAATCCGGATCATGATTTGTGAACCACAAACCCCCATCCAGTCGCCTGTCCGCACGTGTCACGCTAATAAATTGTCTACCTCTGTCTTCTCATTCCCACAGTAGCATACGTACATGCATATCTTGCGAATATGTGGTATATGCACATGCATGTTTACAACATAAGCTACGAGCACATAAGGCTAATCCTAAGTTCTTTTATCCAGTAACTCTCACCACCTAAACCTAGACCACGTGTATACAACTACTTAAATTAAAGTGGACCAAAAGTGAAATTATTTCTTACGCGATGACGGAGGGCGTAGGTTAGAACGAGGTTACGGGCGAATGAGTTGGCAAAAGCTGCATTGAAAAACATGGCAAACATGATTAATGGAACAAATGAATCATTATCTAACGCGATTGTCTACGTATATAGGAAAACCTCACCTTGATAAAAATCGAGGACTTCCAGCAATTTGTCCTAGAAACAAAAGAACAACACATTAAACATTATTCTATATAGGAATATTTCTTATTCTAACCAGCATCCCAAAAGACAGCACCAACGTTATTAAAGGTGTGGGGGGTGGAGCTAAGGTCGATCGCAGAGTCGCTATTTACAGACATTTTCAGGGTTCACATTTTTAGGAGAGATAAAAGTGGAGTGTGTGGTGAGGGAAATGATGTCGCAGATCCCGGATCTGCTGTTTTCTGTCTCTGTGTGAGTGAGTGTGATGAGAGGAAAAATTTTTTGTAGTCAAGTGAGTTGAGTTATTAGTGAGTAGTACGAGTGAGTGAGGAGAGAGAGAGGAGCAGGGTGCGGATGTTTATGTATTTATTGTGTGGATTTTATAGGCTGATTTTTGGGACAGAATTTTTAGGAAGGGTTACGAGGATTATTTGTTGTTATTAGGATTATTAAAGTTCCCTAACTGCCATCACCAACTCCTACAACTTTACCATCCCAGTTGCGATCTTTGTTGGAGTCTTTTTAAAAACTGCAAAGATGAATCGACGGAAGTGTAGAAAAGTGACCTACACTGAAGACTCCGATGATTCCACCTCTGACCCCAACCACCATTCTGAGGGTCAAGTAGATGAGATTTCCCCAAATAATGTAAAAACCCCGAACCCCAAAATGACCATACCCCCCGATTTTAATGATGGTTTTATGCATGCATTTTCAGTTCTCCCCTCTTCCCACCCACCATTCTGGAGAGGAGAAGGATGACGACGACTCCACCCACCACTCGGAGGAGGATGATGACTCTTCCACCTCTGACCCCAACCACTACTCTGTGGGTCAAGTAGAAGATGATTACAACTCTCCGCCATCCTACCAATATTGTGTGGAAGTGGAAGAAGGGACGGACAAACCTTTCATCTGTGCGGTTCGTCGGACTGACCAAGAAGAGAAATGCGGTAGGAGGTATAAACGACGGAATGCCGTAAACAAACATCAAAGGATGGATCATTTAGCAACTGATGAAGAGTAAGTCGCATTTTAGTATGCTCTCATTTCTTTCTCAAAATGTAAGTTGTGGATGATGTTGCAGTAAAGAAGCAGAGAAAGAACGATACAGGGAGTACCGGAAGAAGAGTCTATATGGCGTTCGAAGCGACGGATCGGCAAAAGCCTATCGCGGAAAAAAGAAGGCGAAAGGGTTTGACCAGCACCAGAAATCGTTCGTGTGCGATTTTGAGGTCGTCGAAGGTGACAACAGGGAATTGTGTGGCAGATCCTACTGTTACGAAACGTCGCTAACCCGACATCAGAAAAAGGATCACTTGGGAACACCGGCAGAGTGAGTCTTTAGAGTTATACACAAGTCAATATACACATACACATAAGTCGCATTTAAATTCATATTCCTCCCCCGTGTACTCATATTTAATCTGCAAGACTTGTGTATTCTTTTTGCAGACAAGCACTATTAACAGCAAGACAGAAGGAGTACGCCATCAAAAACAATCGACCGAAACAAATGGGTACAGTCGTCTCTTGTCATATTGGCACACTCCCCCGATTGGAGATCAATTTGATTGGGGACACAACTCGAAACAGATCTGACGCAGAGAAGGAGTATTTAAACACAACTGCAAGTGTCATTGACAGGCAGACTCGGAAGCCGTATTACTTCTACCACCTCATCATCCTGCCCCAACTTGCGGTTGAAGCAATCGGCTGCCCTCTCGCCTACCTGTCGTCAATCAAGGATGACCCTTCGAAAATAGTATACGAATACTTTGGAACTCATTATCAAAACCGACCGTGCCGGATGCATACAGACGCTCGAGAGTGCTACAAGTCATCCGTAGCCCATTTAATGGCTGAAGAAACAGAAGATGGTACCTCAAAGTATGTCTGCTACTCAATCCAGCACCCGGTAAAAAGAACTATTCATGCACCAACATATCATGCAATGTTCCAATTCGTTTACTTTATTCTGTTATACCTACGCTGTCTGTGGTTTTCAGGATTTTGAATTTACTAATCAAACTTCCGTGGAAAACAAGAACGCGGCACTTTTGAAGGAAGCCTGGAAATTGGTAAGATTATAATACTTCTTTGTAGTTAACCCATCCTGGATTATTCATAACGGATCAATGACTACTTATTACAGATTGAGATGGATGGTCGTCGAATGACCGGTTTAAACCAAGACAGGGTGCAGTGGATTTCACTGAATAAGAAGGGCGAAATACAACAAGGGATTGACGGTGGGATGACGCTAGCAGATGCAGCACGCTCGCTCTGGACTATGGCAGAGCTCTAGTACCATCAATTTGTTTGGAGCCCAAAAGCTGCCATGAAAATCACAACCCAAACAACTTTCCCTACTTCCCCCTTGCTCATTATCAGGCCTCCAATTTTGTCCACTTCACCCCCACTTTGCCAGCAAAGAATTTGCAGAAGAAAGTTAGTATTGAAATCAGTCAGGTGGATGGAGTGTGGGTTACAATGTAAATTGTCCTATTTTCGACTAAAATGTACTGGAGTTTTTATAATTGTTTTTGCTTTATCGATGAATTTATATTTTTAAAAAAGGTTCAATTAAATATTCGTCTTTCCGTTGTATCACATACATATAACTGTTAACTGAAGGTGATCCGACCATATACAATTTCGACGCAACTACTTCCGATAAGAAAAAGAGTGTGATGGATTTGTTTGTTTATCTGGGTTTGTGCATGAGAAAGCGGCGGAAATATTTATTCATGAAATAACTGATTGAGATCGACCACCAACCAACCATAATGAATATAAAAGTCGGTAGAAACAATTACCCGCTTAATTGTGTGTAGATCACAGTACGTAAGGGCTCGAACATTTGCGGCCGACTGTCCAATTGTCGTCTCCTTCCAGAAGCAATCTCCAAAAACATCACCTTTCCCTGCAAGTCAGAAAATGAGAAAAGTGAGATTCATGGCTGAACAAACAATATGTCTAGTTTTTCATATCCAACTTTACAAAGAGTAAGAAAATGAGCGTGTGGTAAAAATTTAATTTTATTCCAGAGTGACAAAATGATTGAGTGTATGTATGACGTTCCTTTTTGCATCAAGTGAGTGTAAAACTGGAGTGAGGGCCAAAAATCATAAAAAGTTTCTTAGACAAAACACAGCCCGTCCAAAAAACCTGCGGACGCGGGGAAGAAGAAGATGCACAATACACTAAAATTAAGATGAAAGAAGAAGAAAGTTTACAAACGCGTGAACCAAAGCATGTTGAGAATGGTCGTTAATCATTTAAGTAAAGAAGCCCATCTGCTGGAGAAAGTTTTTCTTCGTAACTTTTACTAAATGTCACGCCCCCATTTCAACTCTTCTCTTGGATTAGGTTATTAAATTTTTCTAGTGCAGATTACAAAGGATGACAACCCGAATCTCGTGTATTATTACAACAGGATGGCTCCTAGCCGAAAATACGAGATGAAAGAAAGAGACATTACTTCACATCGGCACGGCTCCTTTATTAGCACCAAAGCTGTCAAAATTAATGCGCTACGACGATTTTGGTACGCATTTATTAGTATTTCAATATGCAAATTTTTTCCCGAAGGTAGTTTGTACCTTGAAACTTGAATCATAATATTGTGACGCAAGTAGTAAGTAGTCTACATAAACTTCCTTCCATCCAATGTGTACCTAGGACTGAACCCATTTTTTATGAATACTTTTGAATAAAGTAGACCAGTGAGTATCGGCCCCGTGTTGGGAAACTTGCGAACGTCAAGCATCACCTAAGAATAATAATATGCGTGTCGCTTTCAGACTTTTGTTTATCGATCTCCCCACCCACAAATGCGTACGAGACTTTGCCTTTGTGCTTTCTTATGACTGACTGACAGCAGTATGACAGGCGGCCATTTTTAATGATTTAGTATATTTTCTCAAGGTTTTGTATGTAGGTTGGCAGGGAACTACGGTTGCATACTCGGAATTGGGTAGCAATTGACCGAAACATACACATTCCTCTGTGCGACTTATTTACGACCCGTGGTGGAAAAACGAATTTATCAAACACGATGAAATTATATGGCCCGAGTTCCGATTATTGCAGCAAGTGAAATGAATTGTCCATTATTTCAAGTAAATGAGAACGGAAATTTTTACCCCATTTATGCTGTTACTGATACACGTACGAGTCAGACGATTGCATATTTGTCGCTGAGTGGCTCATGGGAAAGTTGGTCATATTTACATGTGCAGCCAAAAAGAAAGTGGGAACTCCTGGAATACGTGTGTGTACATACCGTTTTATGTTGTTAGCCTGTTTGCGTGACTGTTTAGCAAAGGTATGCATGTAGCCACTTTGCAGCATAGCTGAGAAGGTGAAAAGTAGCCAATCGACTATTTTATATAACTTTTAGAGTTCTTGTATGCATTGTGAGCTACGAACGAAGCTCAATTTGCACAAAATACCAAGCACCTACTTTCCCTCACCTTGACCTTCTTATTAAAGCAGGTATATTTATGTATGGATGGGAGGCGACGATTTGCGATCAATACTTCTTTGTGTGAATATGCAGTCGCTGACAACACAAAGTGTTTGTTTTGGTAAATTTCTGATTGTCAAGTTAATATTTAATATTAGTTTATGCTCTAAGTGGAGGTATACATTTGAAGAAACGTGTGTTTCTTGATTGTAGTATTGACAAATATTTAGTGCACAATTTAGCAGCTAATTAATTCTTCCAACTGCCCATATTCGACCTACTACAAAGGACTCCATATTTATCTGTGCATACTTCACGTGCATGCATATACTTAATGTTTCTGTTGATTTGTTAAGCTTTGTGAGGGTAAAAGCTGAACTGGACGACTGCGTGTGTACTTGCACACCTTCATACAAAGTCAAAGGTCAAGAGTGCAATAAAATTGTTGACAGATAATAAAAATGGCAAGGGCTGGGATTTTATGATTATTTCATGAGGTTCCTCTTTGTCAAGTGACATGAGGAAGATTAGGCTTCCTGCCATCCCAGCAACTCCCTTCAACATCTCGTCCTCATCAAAAATTGCAGCGACTCCGACCATGTACTTTCTCTCCCGTGCAGCACATTTCTCAGCCGTGTTTTCCCATGCACTCCACCCACAACGTGGGACTATTGGTTCGTGGCTCGTCCGTAAATGAGTAGGGATGCTTGCACAAAAATACATACACACAATGACACACATATGAATGCTTGTGCACATACTGGGCACATTTGGGCTCATAGTGGATGAGAAAAATGTCATAGTAACGACAACCAAGGCGTGCCAAACATTTCGCCTGATCGATAAAACTCAAGAAGGAAATAACAAATGCAATGAAAAGAAAATGAAATGGGAAATGGAGAGTGAGCTTTTAGCAGCCAAGTCATAATAATACCCCACATGACATGAACCTCGTATCGTATACCAAACACAAATCCGACTTTTGGGGACATTTTCGCCTACAAATAAATTCGCTGGGAGTGCCAAAGATTTTTTGTCGTGGTGCAATTCTCCCCAAGTCTCTCTCTTACTCCACATAGTGCTGAGGAGGGGCAAGATTTGTCTGACCTTATCCGCCGTGGTGGTGATGTATAGTGTGGGCTTCAGGCCAGTAGTTTAGTGTCAGACTGAAAACATTGGCTACAGGGGGTGGTTAGGCTTTGTCGGACGACTACACAACGGATGGAATAAAATGAGACTGGCTAGCTGCATAATAACCTTATTGAAATTTATTTGTCCCCGTCTCTTCAGGGACAATTGAACGAAACTGCATGTCAGATCATCACTCTTGTGCATTTTGCTATAAATACTCGCCATCCTCCACATCCATCAAAAGATGTAAATATTTTGATGACGCAAAAATTGATGGATCATCGTTCTTCTAGAATTGCGAAGTATTTAGAAATTTTTCATTTTAATCCGATTTTGAGAGCATTTTCCTCTCCGTCTGAATCATCCGCATGTACGTTTAATCGTAGAAAGTTTCCTATGTACCAAGGATTTTTATCACTGTCCAAACGAGGCTGGGAAGGCCGGAAATTGTTATCCGCTACCTACATATCATAGGATACTCGAATTGATTCAATGATTCCCATTCTCTTGTACGGACAACAACAGGAGAATTTGGACAGCGGAGAAATGTCAGCAACTTCAATCTCCATTCCGCACAACAGACAACAATGCGATGATGCGGCGACCCTCGTCTCTCTGCACTCGAGATGCCGTGGAATGGGTTGAGTCGCCACTCCACTTTCCCCGTCTCCCTCTCGACCCTCTCGTCTTCCTTCCTGTTACAAAGCCCATGATGCCTCGTTCTCTCCATTTTACTCTGGATTCCATGTTTCTCTTCCGTCTCGACAGTTGTGCACTTGGACCAATGTACATTGTGGCAGAAAGTCGAGATCCTAAATACGTACTACAGTATGTACAGTATCGAACAAGCCGGAGATAAATATACGCGTGTGCTCGTGGATGGAGTTGGTTGAGCACGGTCTTCAACTCTTCCCGAGCTTGTTTTCTCCTCCAAGGTACCATTACTGAATACAAATGAGTCGTGTTGACCCAAGGAAATAGCCACGCGGTTAAAACCTCTCGTCACCAGGAAAAGAGTCCAAATCTTCAAAGTATCACATACAGAATACCAACTGAACATCCAATAGCATGACATGACTCACGTACATATGTATAAGAAGCCAAGTCTTCATACATAAATGCCAAGCACACGATGGGTATAAATGGCCTTGTATAAGCTCCAATTGAGGAGGATAAGGACCACAACACTAATGATACACTGCACACATCGTCAAACCAAACGATGGAGAAATTCTAGTAGCACAACTAATACAACGCTTTGAATTATGCTTGGTTTAGGAGAATTGTATTCTGCGAGCGCATCCATTGCACACGAGAACAATGCTCAGATTATTCCTATTGCTGAGCAGACAATACGGATTCCCTCCATCGTACATGCATATTTACTATTGTGAGGTCGATGGGATGAATGATTCATTTCATTGCGGTGTTTACCACCATATTGATGCTCCATTCGTGCAATTAGTGCTTAGCAAGTACAATTTTCTCTTTGTTGCATCAATTTTGCTATGCTTTTTGAACAGTCGAAATTACAAGTTAGTAGATCGAGCTTGAAGAGAAAGACGGCATCCTGTGCCTCCAGCAGCTCTGTCATTAGTGCAGAAGCGCTTTTTAATCCAATGCCAATGTTGGAACGCAGAGTTTAACGCTGTGCATGTAGGCGTTACGTACATGGTGCAAAGTATCTTTTTAAAGGTACGGAGACAAGTAAAGCATAAGGTAAAACGATAACTATTGTACAAATTGGAATATGAAAATTTCAATAAATTTATGATTATAAGACGATTTCCATGGGCTAAATGGAGAAAGCATGAACGATACCCCCTGAAAATAGGAGTCCTTGATCGATACTACTTATGCGGCAATGGCAATGAAAGTATGTTTATTAATACACCAGGAATTAGTGATAGAAATCGGAATTAAGTACACGTAAATTATGGTCTTCATACATACAAATGCTAAAAGTCAGCCTACACAAACATGTACAAACACCAGGGAGGCACAGGGGAAGGACATTAAACCAAATGCACGTATGGTGTTTATTAACATCGTTAGTATGCATAGACCGAGCCGGAGATAATTTTGACAATCGGCCAATTTTGAAAAGAGGTCAGACATGCCTCGAAAGAAATAAGGATTTTGAACTGGAAATGAGAAAGTTCTGCATGCACTTTACGAGCTAGAACTAGAAAACTCTTATCGCTAAATCCTCTACAACTTTAGAATTTGGTTTGATTATGCAATGTAGGCTCAAAACCTATAGTACGACTGCACACAACACCAACGAGTGCATGAGCAACCAGCTTGTGCAACTAAATAATACTTTGCTGGGAGATAGAGCGAATATGTACTTGTGTATGTACAAGTGGTGGTTGAGTGCTACTACAGAGCAGTTGTAGTAGAAGCCCGAAGGGATAGGTTTTCCCACTAAAACAGCGACAACCAGAACAAGTCTGGCAAAATGAATCCAATCCAGTAGTGGATGCATCTTTTGGGATTTCTCCATGTTAATCCGACAAGACCAATTTCCAACAACCAACGCACTCGCTTCAAATCGAAACTAATTCTCAGGTCAAGTTACCACCGTACTCTGCTTTCCCATCTGTGTAAGTAACGAGTCGCCCTATGTTGGGATATATCGCGTAGTGGTACTTATTGCTTCCAATTTGCACAACGTCCCTTACGAAGTTGTACCGATGAGCAGTCGTGCATTGCAATTTCAGTTCTCCCACACACCTACACATACATACACACATACCCATTTACCTACATAGAAGCCCGTACACCACCAAATGGACCACCCACATGATGACCTATTCAACTACCACCGACCGACCAACCTCATGGCCTCTGACCATCGACCGACCTTGTTTCAGTACTTTGGTCAAATCCATTATCGAAAACACTTGCCTCAAATACATCCATAAAAGTTGGATTGCACATGTCAATGCAAAAATTTGGTGACATCATTCATGAAGTTAATCTAAGAAGTTTATATATTTAATTACACTTTTGTAAATAGAAAGTATACTTTTAACAAGGAAGATTATTGCACAAAATGAAACACTGTCAAACAGTAATCATACAAAAGCATATGATACTTATCAGTTGAGATGCAAGGTTTAAATCGAAAATTTAATTTTCTTTTCCATACACAAGGGTATGAAATTCGGAAATGAATGTCTCCGTCGTATGCATATATCTATCTGAAAGTGGCTTCGTTGCTGCATTGTTGACACATTCACTCAATAATTTGAAGACTAGGAGGAGAATATTAAAGTCAACGTTGTGCAATATTCAGCCTTGGTTGTTAGTGTTCATTGCCGACACTAACGAACTACCCAGATAACAGGTCGCTATGAATTCGCTTAGAGAATTCGCAGAGAATATCGCGTAAAAACAGAGAACTCGAATTCCCTCAGATTTCGTTATTATTCTCGTATCGAATTCGCATCGAATTCGGTAATTATTCGTATTTAAATTCGATATTACGCTCATTTCAGAATTCGTAATGAATTAGACTCGAATTCTCAGAGAATTCTTCTATCGAATTCGAAACGACTTCACTATGCATTCCTAAACGAATTCGCTGTTATTGTAGTGAGGAATTCTCCCCGATTTCGATAGGAATTCTTCTTACAGGAATAGGAGACTATAAACTGTTCGCCTTGAATCTCGAATTCGTAAATAATTCTTAGAGAATTCACTGTGATTTCTCTCTTTCACGCTGGTATTGTATTTTAAAGTAATTTTAGCTGCCACATTCAAATCTTTCCTCATGGGAAGGAGACGACTTTTTCAGTTGAGTGCTCGCCACAAAAGAAGACTTGTAAAAAAACCAAATGAAATTTTCGAGGAAAATTTAAATAGTGACCTAGTCCAGGCCGAAGGGGAAAACATTTATTCAGAACAAGTGTTCGAGGAAGATCTGGAAGAAATTGAAGTCGGAAGTAACACGAGTGAAGTAAGTTCAGCTGAAACAATTAGCTCAGAGAGTGAAGGTGAAATTGATACTTTTGATATAAGACATAGTATCCAAAATTAGTCCAAGATTGAAAAATTGAAATCTGCTGGTGGATCTGAGGTGGCTACCGTGGTCGAGAGCATTCTCAAGAAGCTGATGACCGATGATTTGCAAGCTAAGTATAGTCTTTACGGAGAAAAGGGAAAGAACTCTTTAGTGAAAGTTAAGGGGTTAAGACAACTCATTAAAGGTATTTTAGCATCTAATTAAACAACAATCTAAAACATTAAAAAATATGTTAATCTCAGATGCGGTAGCAGCTCACCCTAGGACTCCAAATTATCCAGACGAGGGCACAGTTGACGAGGAAATTCAAAAATCCCTTAAGAAAGTCGCAGATAGAGTTGGGAAGCGTATGAGGTACTTATACTATCGCTAATAACTGTTGCAAAAGATTTTAAAAATAACATTAGTATATTTTCAATAGGAAGTGACTTGACTTCGCGGCCAATTTCACTACCCGGTTCATCTGATTATTCAACTTATATTTATTTTAATAAAAAGTTATTTATATTGCATAATATTTAGAAGAAGTAAAATAAACTATAAACGGAATTATGTAACTTCGAAATAAACGAGAAATCGTATCGATTTATTACTTAATTCGCAGTGAATTCGCATAGAAGTCGCATAAAATTCGTGGAGCAGTCGCGTCGAATTCGTTTAGAAATCGTTATGAACTCCTACATGCTCATCGAATTCAAGACGAAATCGTGGAGACTTACCGGCGAAATCGATTTACGATTCTCTATCGATTCGCTGTCGAATCGGCGGACATTTCCCTTCGATATCTCCTCGAATTTATCTCGAAAGTTGGAAATTCGAGGCGAATTCGATATCGATATGAAAGCGAATATAATATCGAAACATAAGAGAATTCAGAGCGAATTGTTATCTGGGTATTTACTGCACAATCCAACGAAAGTAGTCAATGTTGTGAAAGAGTGCTTTGGGGAAAGCAGATGGATGGATATAAAGTTTATAAATAGCCAATGCAGATATGCACACATAGAAATAATCCTTGTGCCAAGGAAGAAGTGAGAATTTGTTTTATCATTAGTTACTTATTTGCTGGAGCAGCCGTGTAATGCAAATGAGTGGAGAAATGTTTTAGTTAATTGCATTTTGAGTTAGTGCTGAGGGGGTGGAACAACTGCACAACTGATTGAGTCGCACTCTCGCACAGCCCAGTTTCTCGTGGTTTCTGTAGGTTGTTCCCCCTGCCACCTGCTAATTTCCTTCATTGAGTTACTAATCGGATAAAGTGCTGATTCCCAAATTAGCCGATATCATCAAACGCTCCTCAGCAACATATAAAAATACAGTTTTTCGCAGTAATTGTAGTCGGGCCTAGTCCAAATAGATAGAAAGCGGCACAAGGTAAATAGTTTGACTTACCGAGTATTGCGACAACTTCGTCATCTTGGATAACTTCCTGCAAATACCAACGTGTGTATGTAACTGACATTTCCATACTCTACAAACTTCTGATTTCTGAATGTACTTACAAGTGACCCAGTGACGATGAAGCTAGTAATGAAAATAAAGTTAAACTTTTAAGTAATCGTAGATAAGTATAAAAGTTTCTTTGTATTGAATATTATAATAAATAGTTCATGCATATCCAACCTCATCTTACTAATATTACAGCTGATGTACATATGCATGTGTTCCTCATTAATGCAATATTAGTTAATCTTTTAGCAGCCTTACCACAGATTGTCAATGCTTTCCCCTGTGTGATAGAGCAAATCCCCAGGAGCGGAATGGCTCATCAGGAAATGCATGGCCAGCGCTCGTAAACATCCATCACTGGCTAAACGGAAAGCCGGATGTTCATTAAAGACCTTTCGATTCAAATGGACGCATATATCGGCCTTCATATCCTTCGGACAGTAGTTTAGGACCTGAGTGTGACAAGTAACAAGTAATTAATCTAGAGTTATCACGCACGACATCAGGAGCAAATAATCATGACAATCATTGCATTGCAATAATAGAAATAAGGCAAAAGCGGTAATGACACATATTAAATATGTACTATGTCAATAAGGAGCGTTAACAACACGCGTTACCAATTTCAAATCTAAAAGCATACATTCTTAATTCAATCCTGTTGCGAAACCAGGTATATAGCGCACTTGTGCATGTTTTCGCAATACGCTCGTAAATAAAATGTGTATAGCATTGGGTTTTGCATCTTAATACTTCTAACTAAATAAGTAGAATGCAGAAATATTATTTATCAAGCAAGCACAAAAGTAGAGGAACTATATGCACGGAGACTTATGCCAGCAGCTGCGTTGTCTTGTCGTACAGCTTTCTTAAATACAACCCAACGTTAAGAGAAAAATGTACGTTATGAATTCCCAGCTGGAGAAATAAAGGTCAATCGCAGGCTTATTAAATATGACAAATTCGTCTCTCGAGACTTTCCTCGCTTTCTACACACGAAACCTAGTTGGACCACCGGAGTTGGGTTAGACATCCTGGAACTCTTATTCTTTTAGGTCAGGTACTCCCAAAGCCAAAGCTTTTGACTGGAACTTCAACCACGTAGTTATTGCTATTTCATGAGACACATGGAGACAATGCGTCCTTATGCATAAAATAGCTGCGTATTTTATTAGTACGTAGAGATGGGAATGGGCGGAATGATGGCATATTTTGAACAAGATAAGTGAGAGAAGAGAGGACACTTGAACTGGATCTGCCTTATATTCCTTCAATCCCAGTCCAACTGAACCCTCCGCCCGGATGTATTATGCAGAGGTTCTCCTAAGCTTTCGGTGGAGCAGGCCCCAGATGCGAAATCCTGCATAGTCATTACATCAGGAATAATTTGGTCGTTCCAGACACTACATCAGTTCCATTATTTTATTACTTATGGTGTCATGATTACCCTGAGGGACATTTCATTCACTCCTGGACAGAGTCCATTTTTGCATACTTTCGAACGTGCAATTAAAAACATAGTACTCGAACGAATATAAATTATAGAACATTTTCATGCAAATAAATTAAGCGAAATTTAAACGCTCTTTTGCCGTATTTCACTTTTTGTGAAAATCTAGGTAAAATTTAATAGTATATTTCTGCGCGCTAAATATGTATGTATGCAAGTATGTGCCTTCGATTTAATGTGTAACATGTTCAGGCCAAATGCCCAACAATGCCATGATTTTCTTCATGGTTTCTAGCAAAACAAACCACATTTGACGAAATCAAGATTTATTACATTCTGTATGTACGACAAATGGATAAGTATCGAGGCTTTGAGTTGCTATTTTACAATATTGACGGACATTTGCAAATAACATGCATTAAACTGTCGAATAAGTATATGTGAATAGTGACACCCTCCTTGCGCGATGTGAAATTTGAGTGGTTTCATCATTTTTTAGCGGATTTCCTTCCTAGCACGTCAATTTTCCATCAATATGTGATACAGACTTACTCGTACCAACTTGACACTAAACTTTACGACAACCTGCAACTACACTGATGACGGGAGTTTGACACGGATAAAAACATGTACAAGGAAGCGACGCGGTAAAGGTTTACGATTTCCCACACAGAGCAACTCAACCAAGAAAATATTGAGCATGATTCCGAACTTTCATTCGTACAATATGACCTTTCGATATTTATGAATACCTTGACATTTTGAATCTTAGAGTTGCCCAGGTTCGTTAATAATTCATTCCAATTCAGTTTTATACCCAACATAAAATTTTTTGAGGCCCAGATCGGAAGGGCGTGAGTGTGGTGAAATAGAACCAACTCTATCAACTTTGACTGTTACATTTTAACACCGACAAATAAAACACGACTAAATGATGCTGTAAACTTAAAAAAATATATTTCTTGAAGGGATTGGCATCTTATACGTTATGTGCTCCCATTTAAAAGAGAGTTGAGCAGTTACTTCCGAACTCTGCTCTATTGTACTAAAAAATTACTACATACTAACTTCAACATATAAGGTTAGCGATGAACGAACAAAAATCTGACTTATTTTCCGTATCGTTAATATCATAATATATGGACGTATTTTAATGCATTCGTACTTTAAGAAGTCTAACTTGATAATCATTATTATTATTTTTATAGCGATAAAATTCCAGCCAGAACCAAATTTATAGTACAGCCTGTATTTTTTTTAAAAAAAGGTTTTCACAAATTGGACCTTCACAACAACATTTGACAGCATCAAAAGGTCGAGTTTTGTATTTCTCGATAGTACTTATAATGACCAAATTATCAATTCCTTTCGTATAAATTGCCAAAACTTTCTACTTATTGAAGAATGGAAAATCCTTCTCATAGCATCTTCTTGGTGAGAAAATCTAAGACCTGAGTAGTCGTTACTGATAACGATATTTAACGACAATGCAAAATAAGCGGAGAATTGGAGGAGAAAGTTGTGTCCTACTTTTGTCATACTCAGAATCAGCACACACACATATGCTCTATTACTGGAAATAATCTCGGAAAGTAGTGAAAACTATAAAAACTAATGCAGAGTTGGATAGTAAATAAATAAATACAACCATGTTGATACAAGCTTGTCGTGTTGTTGGATGAGAGAAATAAAATAAATCCTGCTCTAGGCGAGAAGAAAGAGCAGCGCTAATGTCGCACATACAAGGAGCACACTTAAGATGATAGATATCTAATAAGAGAAGAAAGATGAGATGGAAAAATTGGGTAAACATGGAGAACAAAAACATGCGAAACAGACACCAACAACATTACAAGGCGGGGAAGAAGAAAGAGCTGGGAGAAAGTACGAGTGCTATGCTATAACGGGCACACATATGAAAATGGCGAGAAGGAAGAGGGTGATGCATTCAGTCCCAGATTTGAATTGTTATTTCGCCCCGAGTTAAATTGTGACAATGAAGAGAGCGGAGCGGAGAAGAGAAGAAAAAGAAGTGGAAAAAGTGCTACAATCCCCCTTTTTTCTCACATACTGCTCATGTGTAGCTCACGTGTGTGCTTTTACACAAGCTCTGCACGAGGACAAAATGGTGAAAACTTTCCAAAACAAGCAAACTTGTTCCGGACAAGAATGAGGAAAAATGTCTTTGTACTAGCACAAATCTACGAAAATGTTTTCATTTCATCAACCATAAGCACAAGTTATTTTGGGTAATTTTTTTGTAGTTGATGCTATTTAAAATTTACACTTATACTTACATTTATATAGATATTACTAAAAACGATCACTAAAAATCTATTCTTGGATAATTTTTATTTGGAGTGTTTCTAGCTTTGAAAGAAGCTTAGAGTATCTAATAATAATAACTTATTATTATTAGATATTATTATTAGATACTCTAAGGAAAGAAGGATTTGTTTGCCCCACTGTCCACAAAATTTTGGATGTCCATAAGAAGTTGATAAAGCACAAAATTAGGGTTCAGGATTTACATAGACTTCAAAATATTTCACTTCTTGGAACTTTTAATCCAAGTTCACCTTCATTAGAAATTCTGATATTTTCAGTAGAAACATTTTAATTATATTCGGAGAAGGTTTTTGCAGGATTTCTAGAAGAATGTAATTTGAAATCTACAAATAGCAAACCCCCATCTTGGATCTTGGAATTAAAAATGATTTCTTGTTGTTTTATTCTTTTACGCTTTTTGCTCAAACAAAATTTAAAAACAAAACAAAGCTAATAGTCTTACATAAATGCATATTTTACCCTTTCGCATCTACTCGAATGAAGAAATTGCAACCCTTTCTGAATCTCGGGCAAGCCAAAACGAAACCGCAAGAAAGCTAAAGCAGGTTGACAGTATTGTAATGGAAGAAAGTACCTTGAAGGAATCTATGCCCCGAGTCATCGCCCAGGTTGAAACGACGTAGTCCATCACCCGTTCTGATAATGCTTTAGGTACTTCATGCAATTTCATAAACTCTCGAACACTGTTCAGCATGTCGTGATATTTCGCCGTTGCGGATGTCATCTGCTGTATGATTGTTGTGACATGTCCAAAAATGGTGGCGTAAAGTAGAGCTGTCAATCAACATTAGAAATTGTTAAGTCATTTTTTAGTAATAAAAATGGCTTGATGTAATACAATCTGTACAAAATTGTGATAAATTTATTAATGGCAGATAAATTCTGATGAGTTTTTTTAGCAGCAAGAACTGCACCCTCATTTCATTCTGTCCGATTTAATTCATTGTGGGAAGCAGAAAGGAACAAGACTACTTTACACCTCTCTTGTTACTATTTGTTTGGACTCCTTGAGAGCCAGAAGACGGTTAATCAAGAAGAAACATGTGTTTCTCCAAGAGAAGGATGTGGTTCAACTGCTGGTGTAATAAGTTAGCTAGAGGTATATACATTCATACATAAGACGGTCAGAATTGGTGATCTCGCCCTATTCCTACGTATTTACTAGGAAATGAGAACGCTATGGGAAGATATATCAAAGACGGAGAGAGCAGCCGAGAAAGTGAGGCGTGCAATTAATTCGGGAAATATCTCATTCCGCTAACTGTTTCAGTAAACCATCCACCATTTCGGTCCTACCGAAATGGTACTTTTTGGGTTGTAAGTCACTTTCTCCTCACTTCAATTCCGAATTTCTAACACTACAACCCCATCATTTACAAAGTGTAGGGAAACGATAAACAGCTCGTGCCAAGTTGCATTTTCTACTCTTCTGTTCAAGAGACTTGATAAAATAAACTTCATGTAACAAAAGTTTTCCTATTTACTAAGCTAATTTAAGATGGGTATTTAAGAAGCTCCATTGCAAAATTTACCATATTCCTTTAAATGTCAAGAATAATTAATTCAGAAAGATATGAAGTGGGTGAAAACTTGTAGTTCTAATCACATCACTACACGACAATGTTTTTTATGGTCGATTGGTTCAAATCAGATGTTTCAATATCCATTACAGAAAACTACATTAGATTACTAATATATGCATATTAAGTACAAATTTCATTATATTTCTTATGGACAGTGTAACAGTCTATAAGTATTGACTCTTTGTAGATACATAGGCTGCGTATCAACTTTTGGCCAAGTAAAATGGTTTTTGGTCCCCTTTCCAACTAGTCAATGAAATTATTGCAAATTAGTTGCTTACCGGCTATAATCATCATGCAGATTGTGAAGATCTTTTCATTGTCAGTCTCCGCTGCAATCATAAATTATTTCAAAAATTTGTAACATTTCATCAGTGATTATTACTCCCTTCTTATATAATTGAGCATATTTTAACACTCGTTTGATGGAATTTAATGAAATTTGTTGCGTATGAAAAAGTAAGGGTCTTAAAATGACTTTTTTTTAACTATGCATAGTTTTACCTGCGACGTTGCCGAAACCAACACTGGTCATACAAGTCATGGTAAAGTAAAGCGCAGTCACATACATAGTTTTTCTAGAAGGGCCAGAGGTCAACTCTGAAGGACCGCCTTCCGGAGAGTTTAACACAATGTAAGGGCTTTGAGTCCTGTAAGATTATCACAATTGTGTTAACACGAATGAAATTATTTGATGCAGGTTATGAAGAGAAAGTGTCTTTCTTACACATTTGCAAGCTTCCAGAGCCAGCTGTATTGCATCCCATTGTCTGTGTCGGAACGACCGATGGAATACCAAATACTGTAAGCATAGACAATAAAGAAATAGTTTAGTGTATCAAGGGAAGAATATGCATTTGTATTCAAATAGAAACACAATATATGTAAGGGATGCATTAAAACTTATAACTCGATCACCTTACTTGCTCTGACTTTATGATGGAGAAAGTTCTCTGCAAATATGCATGTACAAGCATAATTGTGATGTTAAGGTAACTCAAACTTTTGGTAACCCTCTCCATTAGCCTTCAGACTACTTAGAATATTAAAGCAATACTAGTCGTATTTGTTGCTACCTGTTATGTATTTATTACTTTATCTAACTTTGCAATGACGTGATATTCACATACCATTTTTTAAATATCCCAAAAAACACGGTGTTTTTTTCAAGGATTCCATTTTTAGTACATAAGGAACCACACACTTGGATAATAAATACGTGCAGAACATATCCTTTATGGTTAAACGTGTGATATTTTATGCACTCGTGTCATCCAGCGAAATTCCACCATGCTTTCTCTCAAATAGATAATAAAAAGCACAAATTGCCGGAACTATGAATCAACTGTAACTCGTTTTCTAACTTGGTGTTGAGATCAATGTATTATGCATACACTTATCATAAATTGCTCTCATGCTAATAAGGATTGGGAAATTACTTATAATTTGCATTTCTAGCAAATTTCTGATTAATAATTCCTGATCAGAGTGCCATTGCATACTCCTTAACAAATAAAAAATAGGTCCTAAATGCATCCCTTACAATTTGTGTACCTCAAGAACTTACCAGGCTAGCCAATGAGCTACTAACATATAAAAACATAATAGCAGTATCAGCATTGCGGCGCCGTACTCCAAATATCTGTCCAATTTACGAACAACTCTTCCTGGAAATATAAAATGCCGCGTCAATCATACGTAACGTTATTAACGGGAAATCGCAATATGTAAATACGGAATAGGTCATGTCATATTCTTTACCTAGACGAAGTAATCGCACCACTTTCAGTGCGCTGAAAAGGCTTCCGATCCCCTGCAACGAGACAATAAGTGTTATCTCCATCAGCATTATTGTTATGGGCAGCATCTTCAACTTTCTCAGTGTGGGATTTTTTCCCAGTCCTTAGAATGGACTAAGAGCACATTTCTGTTTGTGTGTATATTACTCCTTATCGTAAAGAAGTTTAAGGAATCAATTCCACCGCATTACATAAGATTGTCCTAAACACGATAAAATAACGGTTGCCAACTCAAATCGTCTAGGCTGAAGTGCAACGCGTATGATTCCCTCGATCCGACCGAAGGAGGAGGAGGAGGAGGAAGAAGAAGAAGCTATCGGAGTGACAAATCCTCAACACGAAGTAATGCTATTTGTTCGGGTCAACTAGCAGTCCTGCCAACCACGCACGTTGTACACAAAAACACAAACGACAAATTGGTTTCCCATTTGTTCAATTGCTCCACTCTCTCCTCTTAGTTTCAATAAGTTGCTTTCACTTATTGCAAATGGACTTTGGGGTTAGTGTAATAGTTCAATTTGTCACACAATGCTGTTGGATCTGTCACTTTACCAAATGTCATATCTCAGAAGGTTACTTAGAAGACGGAGGTTTGACCTGGATTATTTTATCACTAAATTATCAGGGTTTTCATGATGATAGGACGCTGCTCACTCGATATGAGTAAAATGTAGAGCGTCTCTCATTTTTCTGGCGTGGCGTCCCTACCTTACACACATGTATAAAACTGAGTGTGTGTTTACTAATCTTCGTCATTATTTTTTCAACTGAGTGCAAAATAAGTCTCTTAGAACTAATACTACAGTTTGTCTGCTCAATTGTGAAACAATGGCTCAATTTCAAGGGATCGTGAACCAACTACAAAATGAAAACAATCATCATTTTGGGTTCGGAATCTTTGTACCTGTACCCCCGTTACCATTTCCTGAACTTGAGAATATTTGGGAATGGAAACGTCATAACGGAATGCCTGTGTTTCAAGATCCTCAATCAGGTAATAATTAAAGTAGTAGTAAATAAAGTAATAATTAAAGTAGTGTTATTTTACGTGAGACAAAATAAATGTAGAATGAAAATTTTTCCATTCTCTTTCCAGAATGGACAAGATACCTTCCATCCCCCACTTATAAGTTTGCTGAGTCTCGACTAGGAAGAGTTTTTGCCAGTGGATGGAGAAAACCCGTTCAAACATTCAAAGTGAATTGTTCAAGTGTACCAGGAACACTCCACAACAATTTAAGATCCCTTCTTGCTCTAATTTATAAGTCCGACCTAAAGAAATTAAGGGTACGAAGATCAGCAGATGGAAATTCCATTATTGTGCAGAAAATGAGGGGGGACCTGAAAGATTTTGACGCCATTTATCACCAGATACCAATCCGCACCAAGAATGGTCGAATTAGTCGGACAGTTGAAGGTATAGTTGAATAAAATGTACATTAAGTATGGAATTATCATCTAAAATATTTGTATAGATATTATAATAGATATTAATCGAAACGGAGCCCGAATGAAACTTGATCCAGGATCGTTTCCTTGTCGCCATGCTCGCTGTCGAATTGGAGATCTGATGACGCAATCGTCAACTGTCAAGTGGGGCCCGGGTGAACATCAAGTGGTTCATGTCAGGAAGAGATTTACCTGTTCCAGCAACAATGTTGTCTACCTTATTCATTGCCATGCCTGTGTACAACTAGGTTTGTGGACTACATATGTAGAGGAGAGTAATGCGGTGAGATAGTAATAAAAGAGTTCTAATAAAAGTTCATTATCCTAAGTAAAGTATTAAATATAATTTGTTATCATACATTTTTTTAGACAAGGAATCTCCATTCTCGAATAAGTAATCATGTCAGCAATCTCGGTGATCAAGAAAATCGTGACCTTTACCCGACCGGAGATCTGTATCAGGAAATAACTGCTATCCTCAATGGTGCTCATGACCCTCATTCCTTACTGCGTGACCCATACGTTCATTTCAACTTTATACATAGCAAATCAGATCGCCGGTATACTTTTTTGGATGGAGGGTTCTCTTCAGACCAACAAAGGAGAAATTGTGAATTTCTCTACAAACAAGTCTGTGGCAATTTCGTCTACACTGCTGCCACTAACTCAGGAAGCCTCAACAAATTTAATTAGAATATTTGTACTGTTCTATTTTTTATACATATATTAATATGAATTACGTTATGTATATTACTTAGTATTAATTGAGATTTATCTTATCTATGCAATATTTGTCCTATTTGTTACTATTTCGTGGATTGCATAAATGAAATATTTACAACCTTTGATTTGATTGTCTACTTGTTTCATTATTTGCCATATCGACGTTTATTTCTGATCCCTAACATGTTTCATTTAAGAATATTCTTTCAAAAATTGCATTGTATTAGCATACTCAGTCATACTCAGTTATACTTTATAGACTTTATGAACTTTCTATTGACATGAACACTTAGACCTCAAATATCACAGTCAACGCGTTCCTTTATGTTGTTGCTCTGGAGAAAGTCAGTGAGTCGGCAAGAAACGTATACCCAGCACCCTTTTTCTCTACCACTTCTTATAGCACATTCCACATCAATCAATCTTCTGAGGAAAAACACAATCGAGCTTTTGGCGTACTGGAAATTGTGTTGATACTTGAAATTCCTTCCATAAAGATAATTACCTAAACTTTGTACAAAGCAAATTGATACGTTATACGTAGTAATAAGTTCCAAACTTGTTTCTTCCAACATCTCCTAAAGTAAAGATCTTTCTTAGAACTTTATCCGGAGAAGTTTTATAAATTATAAGTTTATATAATCGACTGTACATTAAAAATATCTACAATGCAAGCAAGTTTGATGGTCGCCATTTAAGAAAATATTTACACACTTATGTAACAAGATTGAATGTAATCTCTCGAAAAACGAATCCACGTCATATGCGGATATATATGTACTTTTATGTGCATACGTATGCAAAATTACTCAACTTTGCATATCAATTTTTCCACGCATTTTGTTTAATTTAACGTTGATACTTCATTACTACGGATTAACTTTCTAAAATTAGTAATTCAGAATTATGCATCAGTTGAAAATAAGTACAACGTTGCTGCTGCTAATTAATTGGGCTCATCCGTCCCACTATGAACGTGGCATTTCAAATCTAATCTCACTATTTTTTAAGTAATTATTTCCCTAATTAATAATGACGCCACCCTCCGCTCTGCTTTGCAATTTCTTGTAGAATCATGTAACTCCCGTATTTAAAAATTTAATTTTTCATTCTTTTGAAATTTTGAACTTGCACAAACCCTGTTTAGAAAGATTTTTGAAAAGTAATTTTAATTCTGATGATGATTCCCATCACGGCAAGTTTAAAAAAGTCATTACAATTTGTCTTGCATACTACAGTAATCAAGAAAATAAGAATGTGAACGAATGGTACTAATGGCAGTGAGTGAGTGCAAAAATGGGCAAGAATTGTACAGTGTTGTTTCAAGATTTCAATTTCCTACAATCTAGTGGAATTGCTTGGCAGAGTAATAAAAATATCAGCTACTTCTCGTATTCTCCAATCTTGCATAACCCATAAGCAGTTGTACTATGGATCTGGCACGGGTATAAATTATATGGATATTGTGAGAAAATTACTTATCCACAGTTTATTAACTTGCGCTACTATGTTCTCTTTAGATATTTATTCGTCTTATTGGACAGTTGGAGTCGGAGTTATTTATTCTCCAAGCCTTGTCATGATTATGTGTAGGAAGGAGAGAGAGAGAGGGAAAGTGAGTGAGAGAGAGAGAGATGATGACGACGACGGGGTTCACTTCCCGTTAAAATAATTATTATTGCCTTCTGAATCTCCTTGGCCAATGTTCTTAAATTCAGCAGAGGCAGTTTTACATAATAGGTTCTGCTGTGTTAAGCTCCAACCTGAGACGAGGAAGAAGAAAGCGACTGACTGACTGGGTCTGAGGAGTTGACTCAACTTGATCGTCTCACAACCACCACGCTCCTGCACCCAAGAAGTATTTGTTCATCAGCAGTCCTTCTCACTTTATCCAACTTTCATCAAACCAGCCAAGTCGTTCCAGTTCCCCAGGCACTTTTAGGAAGTACGAGCAGCCAATATGCTATCCTGATGAAGATTAGCCTTTGGAGATTTCTCATTTACTTGGCCCTCCACATCTGCTGCTCACAGACGGGCATCGTCTTTTCCGGTCCAGGGGTGCATACATATGGATGCGCGGCACTCTTCATTACCTACCACGGATTAACTTCAGCCCAAAAACTTATGGAAACGAATAAAATAATTCGCTCCGCCTAAGGACGACTTGTGTCTGTTAATCCTTGAATCATTTGGCCGAGCTAAACCATTTATATTAGATGAAACCATTCTTTAAAATTAGGAAAGCCATATAAACATGAAGAAATTCTCCGAATCAACTGAAATTCAAAATAATTCTCAAATTGACTCACTGAGAGGGTGAAAGTTGACTAACGTGTCTTCATAGATATGCCAATATGTAAGTTTCACAGTGTGAAAGTGAAAGTATGCCACCACGGGTACACTAACAAGTAAGTACTTTTTCTCCTGGATAAATTAGCAAAGGGAAAAGATGCGATTAAATTGGAAAAGTATAAATGAGAACCGATTGGAGTAGTTTCCTTTGCTTACACCTTTTCTCCCTTTCCTTGCATTCGACCAACTCTCTCTCATTCCTTTCTCTCTCTTTTACTCCATGCCGTCTAGGCCGTAAAGTTGGAAAGTACACAAAGGATGAAGGGAACGGTATATGCACATATAAACATATTTAGGACGGACGATATAAGCACAAGCACCGTTGTGCAGACGGATATCTGTGTTTCTCGAGTAAAGAGAAAGGTGGGAATTGAACGGAACCTTGCAATGAGTGTAAGCCGAGCAAAAAGTTGGGTTTGCAAACTTGCAACTGGTTCATTGACTCAAAGTAAACTTGGCCGATTGGGCTTCCGTTCTTTCGAAGGATTGAGATTTTAGGCTATTCTGCCCTCCTTTTCATTCTTTTCTAATGGGATCAGGAAGTATAATTTGCTCGATTACTTTACTGGCACTGGATTACACAAATATTTTCTTATATAACCTTTAGATTTAGATGGTTTGAAAATAGTGCATTGTTGATGCAGTTATTGATATGTGTCTGAATATATTTCTATCTGTATGTGTACAAGTATTATTATAAATCAAAAATTGACATACATCTTCATCATGGTCGAATGCATTGAACACGTCGTAAGGAAGGCAACCTATACAGATTATATATTTAGCATTTTTGAAGAAGTGAAAGCACTTTTTACAACGCCAATGACTTATTTGATGCTCACAGCAACTAAATACTATCAAAAGCTGCAATGTTTCACTTACTGAGTAGATCAATGAGAAACCAAGACTTTAAATAGTTCATACGAATAACTTTCGGTTCGGATACGACCTCACCACCTGAAATAAAAATTGTTTTTAAATACAAAATTGATGTCCACTACACGGTATACCTATTTATAAATATTATTATAATGTAAAAATCGCAGGGACTTGTTACCAGGTCCAACAAACGTAGTATGGAAGTTGAGAACAATGTCGATGAAGAAAATGACGTCCACGATCGAGTCGACGACCTGTTACATGGAAAGGTAGGGTTAAGCGGCGAATATTACCTCGTGCGAGAACCATTGAATGTTTAACTCACAAGGAGGCTGACATCTTCGGATGTCTTGTTTTTATACGCAACGTTATAAGGTACCTATTCATAATCAATTAGTTACCGAATATATCTCATACAGTTTATGTATTTCATGTGTAAGGAAATTGCACTACAGTGGGCAAACTTGGGTCTAAATACAAAGTCAATTTCTTCATAAACACCTTGAGAGAAACTAAATTTTGACATTTTTTAAGTTCTTAACTTTAATTCTTTTGGCTTGCGTTTTCTTAAAAAATATTTTGTCAACACTGATAGCATGTTAAGCAATAATCTGAATGAATCTTTTTAAATTCAAAGATAAAAGTGCTATAAATTTATGAAAAAATAATTGAACTTAAAATATGATTTTTATAAACGTTTGTTATTCCGTTTGGGCGAAAATTCGATGACATTTCGCTCAAGATATTAGTTTGAGCTAATCAGCATAGTTCTAGCTAGAACATGTGTACGAGTTGGATAGCTAGCTAGCATGAGCACAGCTAATACCTTTAGATAGCGAGTCGCAAAAAATTAGAAAGTTAGAGTTTAAATTTTTCAAATTTGTTTCTTCGACTGACTGGTCGAGGTGTTTATAGCAATAAATTTACCCAGGTCAGAGTTTTCCCACTATAGCGGAAGTTTTCCTTCTATTTTTACCATTATAGCCGTGTAGAACGTCAGGCAGAGAATTACCTACAACAATCGAATAAACGCTAGTTAAATTGGACATATTTCCAAATTTTCCGCGCCTCCCCAGAGTTTTAATTTCGCTTTGGAACTATATAATATATAATATACCGAATATTTTTTGAAGTTTTAACATTATGTATTACTAGCGAATAAGCCCGTCTCCCGCCGGGCGAGAGATGATTAGATTATCAAAATTTCACCAGTTAAATATTTTGTAGATATTTATTTAATAAAACAATTTGACGCCAACGGAAGTGAAAGCAATTTGCAGCGAAAGTTAAAGTAGAAAATTATATGTCACCCACCACTTGGCTATATACCAGCCCAGTCTCCCAGTGGCAATGGCAGTGGCACTGGCACTTTGTCTGGCACCCCATTTGGCTCAGTTATCATTGCCAGCCTAGTCTGCCAGTGGCACTGCCATTGCCACTGGCAGTTTGTCTGGCACCCATTTGGCTCAGTTATCATTGCCAGCCTAGTCTGCCAGTGGCACTGCCATTGCCACTGGCAGTTTGTCTGGCACCCATTTGGCTCTGCCATCTTTACCAGCCTAGTCCGCCGTTGGCAATGATCTGCATTGGCAACGACACCCAAACGACAATCCATCAAATAACCACACCCCGATAACCACCATGCAGCAGCCACACCCCGATAACCACCATGCAGCAGCCACACCCCGATAACCACCACGCAGCAGCCACGCCCCGATAACCACCACCAGGCCCCCACAACACTATAACCACCATCAGGCCGCCACACCATGTATAACCACCATAATTCATCAACGACCCGATAACCACACCTTCGCAAATATATTTTTTTAAATTAAGATTTTTGAATTTTCGCGCCATTTGAAACTTGACTTTCTTCACTTTCACTTCCGTTACAAAACATTTACTTTCACTTCCGTTGCCAACAAACATTTCCAGCTTATAATATAGATAAGAATAAGACGATAAAAGTAACTGATGAAAATTACGCCTAAAAAATCGGCGTCGTGGGCATTTTTTCACGCGATGGTGTGATCTATGGGTTTGAGACTTTGTTATTAAACAAGAGATTAGTTAATTTTGTTATCGATTTGGTTAACAAAACTCTAAATATTTCCATAAAGGAAAAAGTAAGGTTTTTCTCCACGTAAGGAACGGGTGGTTGTCTGATGGTTTAGTTTTCCACAGTATCGACATCGGAAACAGATTATCATATCCCTGCCATACAATATGATATGATCATTCATGATGCTCCAAAGCGAAAATAAAACATTGTGCCCCCAAATTTCTGGGAAAGGCTCGGAAACAACCCCAAGAAGTATTTATTATTAATTTAGATGCTTACCCAGTCCCACACAGCTTTGAAAAAGCCTGCATTTAAGTTTGCAAAAACCATTTTAGAATACCATTAACATATAATTCATCCGTCATCTAGGAATGGGTTGAAATGACTAAAATAATTAGTCATCACAATCTGGTTTAGCCATTGCAACCTATTCTAGTCAGTCATTGTAGTCCGTTCTGTTGTTATTTAATCCTATTCTAGTCAGTGGTCATTGAATTCCGTTGTAGTCATTTTAATTCATTCTTGTCATAATTAGTCCAAGCGACCCCAGAATTTCTGGTCATTTGAGGGTAGCAGTTCGGAGGTTAGTTAATGGTGATCACTTTCATCATATTGAGTGGAAGGGTAGGTTACTACCCACATTCTTAAAGGGTCTCATCTCCCAGCCGTCCGGCTGGGTTTGGTCGCAAAAAATTCGTCCAACTTTCATTTCACTATTTATAGATATGTCCGATGATTAGATATGACCATCTAATCAAAATATAGTCATACAGTAGCAAGAGTCGATGAGCCCTTCCCCTCGATAACACTCGCATTCTTGGAGTCCTCAGTCAGTTTTGTCAATGTCCCATAGGTCGAATAAGTGGAGGGACTTACAATAGTGAAGAAGGATGTGCGGTGGCGTCTTTGGTGCTTCTTGACGATAGCTCGGTAATAAATCTATAAATTATAATTATTTTTTAACTGTCTCAAGGTCTAAAAACTAATTCAGATAGGCTTACCGGCGTTCAGGCTCATCATCTGCAAAAAATCAACCCAGTCACATAAATAGTCATTCTTTAGTGAAAATCTATAACACTATCTGATCCCTTTTTAATATTATTCATTAGTTGCACAGAGAGTGACTCTGGCATACCTCACTTTAGAGTGCATGCAAACGATAGTTTTTGCTCACTGGCCATAAACAGAATATGATTTGGAAGGCGACCAAAAATTAAGAGAAAGCAAAAGAGGGGGAGACGATGAGCAGTTTTTAGACTGGAGCACAAACCAGCCACTGCACACATACACACTTGGCCTACTTCCCTTCCGGCCTCACAACCACTGCTGCCCTGTGTACCAGGCCTTAAATAAAAGCGTATAAAATAATACACATGTCTCATCTTGAGACTCGTAACAAATCTGGAGAAAGTTTGATTTTAGACAAGGAAAGAAAAGGACAATTCTCAGGATTTGGCAGACAAAGGATCATCATTCTTTGTGACGTCACTACTGACTGTTGTTCTATAGAATATGGAGTAAACAGACCATTAAGCTCAACGATTGGGGTATTTCTTAACATAACAATTGTTCTAACGGGCACTAAATCAACTGCCTGACAAGTGGAAAATAATACTATACATTTTTCATGGAAATCTGATTTTTAAGAAATGTATTAAAGAAGGTTGCAGTTCAACAAAAACATATTAGGCTGCTCTCTGGAATTAGTATCCCTCCGATTACAGAAAAAAACTAGTTTGGCAGTGAATTTATTTTGACTTTTTTTCCCTCAGTTTTTTTAATGCTTAAAATAGCCTTCAACAAGAAACATGTAACTGTTAAATTATACTCACATGAGCCAGGTTTGATTGCTTCGACGGTTCCCTGACCTGAAAGTCCAAGAAATATGATTATAATATATTTTTTTTAAATAGCATGAAGAAATCAAGAACCAACTGAAACAATAACAATATGAAACTTACGGCTGGAATATGCGATGAGAATTGAGAGGCAAGAACTGACCGAGAGCGGGTCACAGAACGAGCCAATTTGGCGAATTTGCTGAGACCTGGAAATGAATGAAAAAATAAAAATCAACGCCAATAACAGGTTCAAAACCCAACGTGGAAAAAAGCATAAAGATATTATTGGCAAAACCACGAGATAAAAATTTCCTATTGACTTTATGACATTTGACATCGCGTATAGTGGGTGAATCATACTCCCGCAAAATGAAGCAACCCCGATCCGTTACAAAAATATAGTAGTGCATCGCGGATATATGCATGGTCCTTGAAACTAAAAAGGATTTTGTACGCAGACTTGCACCATGTCGCCAAAAATAGAACGGCGGAACTTTCTCTCAAGAAAGGCATCGTAAATCAGGACATGTATGCAGGAAGAAACTATACATAAAAATAAAATTGTATAGTCCCTGTCGTCCTGATATGTACAAGAACATTACATGCGCTCGGTTTACAGTTTACTCCTCCTAAAGTACATATTACATCACATTACGCCGTAACATTCAAGTAAAAAGTTGGACATTGTGACTACTGGGAAATAAAAAGTATTGTGAAGAGAAAGTACATGGCAAGGTGGATGGGATGCCTGAGAAGAAATATGTAATAAAACGCTGTTCCACACAATGTTCAACATAAACATGACACGCATTTCATATACATCCGCGTTTGCTACATAGGACAGCTTTTTGGATTGAATGTACATATCATTCTTTCTGAAATATTTCAAATTGCATCAATATGATATGATATGATTGCATCAATAAAAAAACTAGCATCAATTCGATGCTACAATTTCAATACCGAGTTTCTCGCTTTACTGGGAGAAGTGGAGGAAAGGAAAGGAAACGGAGTACGTATGTGTAAGCAATTCTATTCATTTTCGCACATTTCAAAGAAAATTGCCCCTGCTCATGTATAAATAATCCAAAAAAGAGTCTACGAGTGTGTACTACTACATACATCAAGTGGGGCGCTGAGTCATTAAAATTGCTTAAGTAAATGGACGTGTGTGCCAAGTTGACAATAAATAAGTTAGCACCGCCCGTCTTTTTTCTTTTTCCTAGATCTCCTATTTTGATAGCGTATCATTACTCAAAAATTCGAAAATTGCTTTCACATAATTTTTTGAACTTTGGGTTCACTGAGTAATTAGAACGAGTTACCAAAATCCAATTCTACAGTAGAAGCATAAAATAAAGACCCTGCGAATGAGGAAATGGAGCTTTGAGGGTAAGGGTAACTTACTGTAAAGAGTACTCGTTCCCTTCGAGTCCTCTGCCTCGATCGGTTGTTTCAACGCTGTGATATCTCGAAATGTGAGAAGGAAGAGCACCACCACATCTCGCTCGTTCTTGATGGGCGCAATGTGCAGCAGCAGCCATAGCGGAGTCTCTGTAGTGGGGCCAAGAAATGAGATGAGATCATAAAAATTTGATAGATAAAACGGCGAGCGAGGGAAAGCACCCATAATAAAAGGACCGAAAGATGAGGTAGATTGGAAGGATAATGAAAAGTAACAGTAATGCGTCGTATAATGTTTATCAGTATTACATTGGCGAGAATTGGTGCAGCCTAGCTGTGGAGATAGGCAGACTCGGAAGGAGAGCACCCTTCTCGAGCAAATAGTATGAAACTAGCTCGAAACTGGCTGAAAGTAAATGAAAATCAACCGAATGCTTTACGAAACAGAATTTTTCCCCATTGGGACTCCTACATAAGTACTTTTCAGCCAGTTTGTTCAAGTAACTACGTCAATTTGTACGATTCCTGTCTGTGTTGGTAATACCTTGAAAAATTTATATAAAAATTTAAATAATCTAATACTTACCGTATGCGTACTTTTTGAGGTATATTTTTTATGTTGCATATAGAATTTTATGAATTATGTCCTAAATGTACATATGTATCCTTTCCAACAATAAATAAAAAACATTGATTGGTCGTGTCAGTCAGTGATCATCAGATGAGCATAAATTCCATGTAAATACTGTAAAATTCACATATGCATATGTATTTAGAGTTACGTAAGAAACTGTTCTGCTAAAATTTACATGGACAAACTTATGTCCTGGCGCGGAAACAAGTAGTAGAAAGTGTTCGACCCAAACAGCTTAATAGTTCAATTACTATTCACATCAGTGATTGACACATTGCGCAACATATAAATATCCATGTATGCATATGGAGCATTTGTCACATATGTATGCCCTCCTCTCCTGCTATACTCCTCTAAATATCCACTAAATCATTCATTTACTCCACTTTCCTTCGTCCATCGACTATTGGGCCCATTAAAAGTCAATCAGTATGAATTAAAGACCATGTATTTACATGAAAATCGATAAATCATTACATTTCATTTAAATGCATATGCGTGTTTCCAATGTGCTAAGAAATAATAAAAATTCGCATTATGCGATAAAGTGGTTTCAGTTTTACAATTTCTCCCAATCTCACAGGGAAACTAATTAAAAGTTTCTACAATGCTGTGGGACAATTGGTTGAAAACAATGCGAGTTTACAAAGCCAAGAGGAGCAATTCATCCGTGCTCATCCACACGCCATACTGTGAGAGCTTGGGCATTATTACACAAGCACCTCTCACTCACTCACTCAAATGCAGAGATGGAAAATTGGGTTTGAAAAAGGATGACACCTTCACAAAAGAGACCATCAGACAAAGAGCTTCTCGACATGAAAACAGATTGGAGTCGAGTGGGAGAGAGTGGCTCATGTTGAAGCTATCTCTTTCAATACATTGGGTACTTTAACCATCCATGTTGATATGAATATTGAATTGACAAAGAACAATGCAGCCTTACTCAACCAACCCCTATATCCTCCTCCCACTTATAAACTGCTGGAATTTAAAATCACAAAATTGCAAACAAAGCTTCTGTGAAAACAACAACGCTGTCTCCCATTATTATTATTATCTCGGATTGAATTGGATTTGTGTCCGTGCGGCTGCCTACTTATTCACTGTCCTTTGGTCGGTCGGTCGGGCGTTGGGTGGGTCCTGGGATTTTTTTGCTCTTGTATTCTTGTCCGAGGACTGTACACATTTCGGTCTGGGCCTTATATTACATGCATGCATGCATACATACACATGCTGAATCCGCAGATTGTTTATTGTCCAGAGTATTTGCCAGAATAGAACTATTACACGCATAAATTACTTCTCAATCGGAATACATCACGACAAACTCTGCTCTTCTTCTGCAGCAGAAGAGCTTAAGTTTACAAACTCAAAATCTATTTGTTGTATTGTATCGCATGGAGTATTTACATATAATGCTGACGACAAAGCATATGGTACGGTTTGATTTTAGAGAATCAATTTTGGCAATCTATCAAGAGCTCTTACATACCGCAACGGCAATGGAAAACAGATTTTAGATCTGTGTTGCTGACTTATTCACATGTTCACGGAAACGTTTATTACCATGCGCGATGTTCGGATAAGCACATGCACACAGAATATTGGGCTTGGTAATTTGATGTTGAATGAACTCCGACGACTGTCACTTGCCTGTCAGCTTCCCCATTAAATTGAAGTTAGTAATCCATGTATTTCGAAAATCGCAACGTAATTTCAAATAATGTCTAATCCCACGAATAGCCAAAGAAGAAAGGGAAAAGATGGAAAGAAACGACTTTGGTGCAATTTGCTGTTTAGATCAGATATGGGAAAGGTTTTTATGTTGGGAGAAAACGCACTGAATAATCTGCTACTGAATCAAATTCATTCATTTCATGGGTTTAACCGCGCCATGTCTGGAGGCCGGAAGAGAAAGCCCAAGTGAATAAAGAAATGCCATTAAATCAGAAAAAGTCTGAATATGTTATCCCCAGAGACAATAGGAGAAGCTCGCATTGATCATTTATTTTACGCCCTACGTAACATTTGATTCTGTATATCTGCCCCATAAAGAGAAAGTAGATCACGAAATGCGAGAGAGTCAGAAGTGCATGGAGAAAGTCAGCAGAGGAGCTCTTTCACAGGCAGCTTCATTTTTCACATCCATTTGCATGCGAGCCATGTTGCTGCATTCGTGAATATAAATACGAGCTACTTTGAGCGATACAAATACAACATGCATAATTGACTCCAAAAGGATCGCTTTTTCGACCAATCGTAACTCTGAAAGAGCAGTTGTACACTTATTCCTTTCTAAAGTGGGTGTCTTCTGATACGATGATGTAGTTTCCAATTCCGCGTTTCCTTCCCAGGATTAGCGTAAAAATGGACATTCAAGAAATAAGACGCTTGCTTATTTCACCCGTTCCAACGACGAACATTCTACAATTCTACCTTTTCACAAGTTCTGAACGATCACTTTTAGTCGAGTATCCATAAAATATTATTACATAAATCAAACTCCAGTTCAGACTCAAACTTTCATAAAACTTGAATAAAACTCTTTATTCAAATTCTTGAGAACCATTAATCCTCAAAAAATTCATTGTGGTGATATTAAGTAGTTAGTACATATATGTAGGTATATATGTACATACATATACCTATGCACATATATCTAGTTATTCAGTGCGCATGATTCCTACATGCATTCAAAATACACAAACGTATAAATACTTTAGTTCATAACTACCTATAGAAATATCCTGCAGAACAATATTTATTCCCCAAACGTGAGCTCACCAAAAGGAAATCTAGGAAAGGAGTACTAATAATTAGTTACAGCAGGCCAATCTTATAGAGAAAATAAAAATAAATGAGCCTGATATAATTTTATTTTCTCCATAATAATATAAAGAACCTGCTACAATCCTGGAGTATAACCTGACCTATAAATTACAGGGGAGACATACTTGGCACGAAGTGAAAAAACCGCTTTCACCTTAACCCACTGCCAACCAAGTGCATTATGTGCTTTTCTTTGCAACATGGGTGCTCCGGTTCCATGCTCCTTTGACCCACAGCACGACTTTTGTATATGCAACACAAGGCTATTTCTTCATGCATTTTATTGTCTGGTTTCCTACTTGATAGGCAGGCGGACAACTCGACGTAGTTAACAAACTTTGTTTGACATGACGTCTTGCAAATTATAAGTATGAATAAAATAAACTCGTGCATTCTGCCTTTCACTCCTGAATTGCAACATGAAGGCTTTGTCAATTACAGCAAACGAGTTGACCAGAATTCAGCAGCTTGTCATTGTGAGTCCATCACATCAATCCTACCAAATAAGGCCCGTCCTTAGCCTACTTTTAGAGCTACCAAGTTATAAGTAAGGACAGAAATGGAGAAAAACGTTACGAAATATTAGCATAATTCGAACAAGGAATCCATTTGGCATCATGGTCAGTATAGGAATCAGTGGTGAATCCACGGTTTTCGGCTGGGGGATAGGAAAAAGTGTGATTTCACAGTTCGGAAAAAATTAGCCAATTGTTTAATTAAGTTTTGTCCAGCTCTAAAATCATACAATTTCAGTTTTTCAGAGCCGTGAATTCTCCTCTGATTTTAGACTGAAGGTAAAGGTAAACGTTATGATATGTATAGTCCAGTCCAGTCCAGTAAGTCAGAGCAACAGCATCAACTTTTTAGTTGTCCATAAAATAAAACATAAGTAAAGTGTATTGGTCTCGCCCACTCAATCGGAGATCCTGAATCAGCCTGTGATTCTCCAGGTGTGGGTTGGATCGGATTGATTAATTAATTAATGGCTGGAAAACGGAAGGCTGTTGTGCTAGTAAAAACGCCAATTAATAAGAGAATTACTAAACCCCGTAAAGTCTCTGCGCCCAAAAAGTTAAAGCTTTGTACCATTCCTGACCAGGCTTTCGACATGGGTCTGAATATTGATCCTAATAGTAGTGAAAATAGTGATAACTCTCCGATTACAATTGGTATACTAACCCAACTACTTAATGATAACACGAAAATTCTCACCAGCAGATTTGATAATCTTGATACCTCAGTCGCCCTCCGCAAAGAGAAGCTTGATGAGCTTGAAAGTGAAGTAAAAAGTCTAAAGATTAAAGTATCCGAAATTACAGGTGAAAATGAGCGACTTTGGTGCGAGTTATCGAAAATTAATCTAATATTCTCAGGAATCCCTGAAAGAATCAATGAATCCCAAAAAGACTTATTTGATCAAGTGGCAAATGTTATTAAAGCAACAGGACACACGTACAACTTTGACACCGCATATAGAATTGGGAAACCATCAAAAAACTCGACTAGACCAATAAAATAAGGTTCTTATCACTGTTTGAAAGAAATGAAGTTTATGGAAATAGATTCAAAGTGAATAAGCCGACATTTATAAACGAAGATTTACCCGCATCGCTAAGAAACGATCATAGGATTCTACGACAGAAACGTTCTCAATTACGCAATCTGGGATATGATGCGAAACAAA